ACGATTCACTTCAAGACTGAGAACATCTCACTCGCTGTTACTTTTATACAGGATGTTTTTGTACATATTGGATTTTCTCTAGATGACACAGTACTCTATTTGTACAAATATTTAATTAATAGATATATATTTAAGGTGTTTCTATTACACACCATTGCTCTTATAAGGGTATCTTTGTTTTCGTTAAAACGTTTGTATATGGAAGAAATAAAGGAAATATATTTTTAAAAACAAATTTATGTTTTTTTTTGCGTCTCTTCACTGTAAAAAAATATTTTCATGATGTGATATCACAACTTTTTAATTATTTGTCAAATCAACTTAGATAAATAATGTGGTTCAGATAGCATGATATTTGGAGTTTCTATTTATTAAACCAATCTCATTCATTGTATTAACTAAAAAAATATATTTCAATGAACTCAACATTAAGGCAACAAGGTAACTTAGTTTTTTTTAAGTTAAAACAACAAATGTGAACATTAAGTGTCCATCGCAAAAACAAAAAAACTGGATGTATATTATGTATATATATCATCCAATATCCAGTATAATGTGATCAGTAGAGTAACTAACTAGAAGTTATAAGATTCTTATGTCTTATTTTAATTTATATTGATTGTCTTGCATAACACAAATATCAGCAGTAATAATCTAAAATTTGATCAAATGAATGATAACATGATAGTGATACTGTAACGAGTTAGTAAATCCAAATTCAAGCATGTGTGTGTGTATATATAAGTAATTAAAAGCATATCTTTTGATCAGGAGGATAATTGGAGTTTGCAACACATTTTCAATAATCATAATTCCTAAGACAAGATGCTATAAGGAGAGCTCCACGGGTTAAATCATGAGCAGAATTCGATTTGGAACTGTTGAACTTTGCTGATGTGACAAAGTTGGGTGAGAAGACAAAAAAGAGCTAATCTGAGTTCCAAGGGCAGCTGTTGGAGCCAGGCAGTGTCTCTCCATTGTAGACAGAGCTTTTTAGACATGGTTGTGTGTTCTTGTTGTCTCTGCTCTGCAGCAGACTAAGACATGCTAAAGCCCGTTAGCATGGCGGCTTTGTGCAGTGGCTGGCCTAATAGTCTTGATAAGGATGGATTAGTAATCCTGCTCTAAGAACACACTGATTACTAGTTAACAAACTCGTTACAATGTTTCTGTTCCACTCTCTTGATCCAGTTAAGCCCTAAAGGCAAGAATACAGAAAGCCTAAAGAAATCTGTTCAATGAATAAAGTTTCATCACTAAAATAACACTGAATCAAATGATCAGAGATAAGGAAAGTCAAGTGAGTGAAAAATATGATGTGACCTTTCTGTCTGTTTCACCCAGCAGGAAGACATGGGCTATTGTGGATTTTTGTTTCATGATGCAAGTCATAAGTTTCAGTGGGGTTTATCGACTCAATTTTATGGAATGCTTCATGCAAATGTATTATTTTTATTTAATATTTTGTATTTTTAGGGGATTTTATGGTACCAAATTATTTTTATGCAGTAGTTATTATCCATTATTCACTTTTTTTGAGCATAGACCTAAAAATTTAATTTCCAACTTAAACTGTAAATCTTGAATGCTTTGGAGCACAGACTTCATTTTGGTCTCTTTTTTAAGACAACACGTGGCAGACTATTGCTGAAGTGTTATTTTTATGAAAAATTCACAAATAAATACCGTTTTTAATTTTATATAAAATACATATTTTCCAATGCAGCCATTTTTAACCACGAACAGTATGTGTGGCTATTTTTTTATTTATTTTTTTTTTTTGTCAGGACCATTTGACCTTTTTTAATCATGTCAAAAATTGTTTTCTTGGAGGTTTTGGAAAAAGTTCCAAAACCTCCAATGAAGTAAAAAAATTATTTAAAATTAAAAATTTAAAATTCTAAAAAAAAAAAAATTCTATCAAAAATGAACTAGCAGCACCAGAGTTAAATGATTGCATAATCCTTTCAAGTTTAACATGTTATTTAAATTTGTTAAATTTGTTACAGTGAAAAATTTAGATAAAACAAAATTAACTGATTAAATTTTAATTCAAATGGGAACCCCTGGTTATATTATCATTGTAAATGAAGTGCCTGACAGAACCTTTTAAGGTTCTAGAATCCTTTTTTTCTAGAGTGGGATTTTTTTTTTTTTTTAATGTAATTAAAAAAAAAATTATTAGAACTAAAACAATCCCACGATGAGATGTGAAACAGAACCCTGACAGAACCATTAAAGGTTGGATATGGAACCTTTACTGTAAAAAAGGATTTAGTTTAACTTAAAAAAGTAGATAACCTGGTTGCCTTAACATTTAGAGTTCATTGAAATAAGTTAAGACAATGAAGGAGATTGGTTTAATCAACATAAACTCAACATATTATGTTCTCTGAATCACATAAAGTTAATTTGACAAAAGAAATAATATTGTGATGACAAACATGAAAACACAATTTAAATATTTTTTTATATAGCCTATTGGTAGAGTGCATTTAAAATGTTGAATTAAAAATAAAACTCAAATTAAACAAGGCATACATTTTGGACCAATAAAATCTTCACCTTAAAGAAAAAATGCTTTGATGATGTATGTATGAGAGTTTACAAGAAGATTTCTGTGCAGCAACACTCATCATTGGCCCATGGGTTCCATTTCACATGATTACTAGCTTTATAGATGAATAAAGCCTATTATGAGAGCACTGTCATGGAGACCTCCTTTCCTTAATCCTAAATCCTCTTCAAACAGGTACTTCTGGCTGCCCCCTATGTCATTCAGAACATATAAAGATAAAGTAGGCGAGAGTAAAAAAGAAAGAGAGCTTTGAGGAGTAAGAGCAAGAACCCATCTCTCTTCCACGTCAGTTTGACTGATTGTGTGGATGTAGACTACCTGAGTGCAAGTGTTTGTTTATGTACAGACAGACTTTCTATGATGTGATCTGATGTAATCTTGCAGTAGGCCAAGACGTCCTACAGGGAGGGGGACCCTGGGAAAAGCCACAGGACAGAAGCAGCAGGAAAAGGGGAGGAGAGCTCACCGTTCCAATTAGTCATCTCTCACCCCCACAAACCACCTTCAGGGCCTCCGCGTGCCCCCCACTGCTAGTATTAGCACAGTGTCTCACTGTTTCGGGGATGCATCATCCTCTTATCTAACACCCCTTAGCTTACAGCAGTTCCCTTCATCCTCACAACACAGATTTAAACCCTTGGATCAAGGGATAAAATTGGTTAATAATCATGCACAAACAAACAGGTGAAATCCTGAACAGACAATACAGCATGTGTCTGTGTGTAAGCCATGTTTACTGAGCCTAATTATACTGAGGACTACAAATAGCCTAAATGTTATACGTCTACTCTTAAGAATACAGAATACAGCATCAATGGTTCCAAGAACGGTTAGCATGCATTGCACAAAAGGGTCTTTATTGTGTAAAAGGTTTCTTTAGATTAGCCTTTAATCTTCTTCAAAACCAAGAAAAAAAATGGCTCTTTCAAGAGCTGAAAGGTTTTTTGGAGAACCAAAATTTTAGATATTTTACTCAAGAAAAAGAATAAGTGGGGCTAGCTAATAATGTAGGCTAGCTAATAATTGCAGACTAGCCTACCACTTTTTTTAGAGTAGCCTACAGTTAGTTTCAAATCTCTGACAAAAATGACAAACTAATTACGTGATTCTCACCTTACATGTAGAAAAAAACACATTCGCTTGCCACAAAACAGTTAAAAAAAGGAACATACGATTTGAGTTTAGCGTTGAAACGGTAAAACGCTCGGTTTTGCATTTTATTTGCAGCGAAATGTGCGTCCACTCCATCTAATGGTCATTAACATTAATCACTAGCGTTTGAAGTACACGCACGCTATTGTGTCTTTGTGAAAGGTTTAGTATGTGAACACAATGACTTCTAACGCGTTGACTGAAAGATGGACTGAAAGGAGCACAAGGCGAGGCCCTACTTAAAACGAGCACTTTATGCTAATGCGACGCTCTGTGCAACATTTCAATGAGGCCTTTTACTCAGGAAATTGAGCCGTTCCTGTTTTCCCAAGCTTTCAACGACAACAACGACCATTACGACCGACGCAAGTGCCATTTCTAATCAAAGACGGTTTCTGGGCAGAATGTGCGCAGCAGGAGATTCCCAAAGTAAACATCGAGAAATAAGATACATTCACAAATTTAGCTGAACTGTTAATATCAGTGCTTAGTGTAACAGTCAGAGATGGAAGTAGCTAAATGAATGAGTACAGGTGGCGAACTGCTTGACTTGACACGCAGGTGGCAGTAGCGCATATGTTTGTGACTTTTCCCAGCTCGTTCAGATTGAGTGAAAATCTGCAGCTACTTAATGAGAACAGATTAGCTAAACACACAAATGTCATATGTGACAAAATGGTCCATTAGGTTGTGTTTTTTTTTAATTGGAGGAAGTGTGAGCCCGACCGAACAATGCTGTTTTATTGAGTGTTTCCTAACAGCGAGCTATAGCAAAAATATAATGGTATTGCTATATATAGAAAAATATAATGTCAAGCAGTGCTGGGTACTGATTACAAGAAATCTGGACTAGCCTACATAATCAGATTTCAAAAATTAAGTAGGCCTACTTCATATATTGTTTCAAAATATAGGCCTTCTTGTAATCAGACAGTTACACTTTCTTCACAATTACAGATTCTTTCTTCTGTTGAACATAACAACAGTTGATGGTAAACCCCCTCATCACCATGGTAGTCAACGTGATTTGTTCATTTTTGAGTGAACTATTCCATTAAGAGTGAACTATCCAATTAAGGATCCCATTATTTCTCAACATTGCAATATATGGAATAAACTCCTGACGAACACATATTATTTGACTTATCAAAGTAGGTAATTTAACCATGTATTGCTGTCTTTGGGAGCTTTTCTATTTTACAATTGTTTATTTAAAATTTTTATGATTTATGTACAAAGTAACTTTTCATTAAACTCAAAACCCCCTGTTCCTTCATGAACCCCATCTGGGAAAGCCTGATGTAATGTAATGTTTAATGCACAGAACAGAATTTATTTTCTATCTCTTTGTATTTTTTATCAGTAAGGTACAATATTATCCTATTCAACTTGATGTGATAATATTGGATTTGGAAGAATTTGGTCAAAAGTAATCTAAAAGTATTATATTATATTACCTGTGTAATGTAATGGATTACGCTACTAAACTATTGCTTATTTTCTGGTAACCCAGGCATAGATTATCTAACACAGCAAAATACCAAGTGCCCAGATACCTCCAACCACTTGAGGGCCCCATACTGCAGAATGTATTATGCACATAATAATAAAGAGACATTTTTATTTGGCTCCATTTTGTTGAAATCCTACTTCACAAAAGTATAAAACCTATTATATGCTTTGTAAAAAAAAAAAAAAAAAAAAAAAGATTACATATTTAAGTAAATCTAGGACATTAATTCATCTATCCATGATAATTATAAGAAGCACAAACAACATACAGTATTTCTGTCATCACTAAAGCATGTTTCAACTTAATTTTGTCTTAATAAAATGGTGAGTTCTAGGCAAGTATACCTTTAACATATTTGCTTATATCTCATTCAGTCTACCTTGATATCTGAATGAATATTGCGACTTCTACAATCTAGTTCACAATATTATCTTTTAAATTAACTTTGATTGTTATACTTTTTGTGGGTTGTAAATTCAATTTGCCCCAAATGCATGTAAATGTCATGAGAGAGACAGATCCCAAAGAAAAAATGCAGGTATGGTTCACAAATGCCAGCGATGGGTTTCCCCTGATTTCACAGAAAAAAAATCTAATCAGATTCTCTTGCTGCAGGAAAGGAAACCCTGTTATCTGTCACCAACCGAGTCATGATTCATTCATTCTGCCATTATTCAAGCAAAATGTTTATCTATTTTCAGAAGTTCAACAAGCATACTCATATGAGTAATTACAACCTGGCCCTATCTCCCACGAGACTGAATAATTATGGGAAGAAAGAGAAAACCCATTGTGTGACGAATGAGCTGACTTTGTGGAACCTTTCTTTTTCTCATTATCCGTCACAAAACCTAAAAAAAAAAGATCTTATATAAGATTTAGGAGAAATTGATTTAGCTGGTTTAAACAAATATAAGATCACAAAAAAAATATTCAACTTAATTAATTTACTATAAATTAATTATATTATATTCACAAGGAAGGCATGAGAAACAGAAACGCACGTGCATTGATACAGATGACTGGACGTCTGTAAGAAATAATACGCAGAGTTTTAAGGTTGAGTCTGAAATTATATTTCAAACCAAATTTGACATCTTGGATCCACAAATTGAAGACCGATGAGCTCTTCGCAAGAGACGTTTCTCTATACGCGTTGTTCAGCGACTCTGAATCGGTTTTGTGGAGTCTTATGGTGCATATTGATACTCATACTAATCCAGATACTGACTCCCTTCACTGTCAGAGACACTCAGCAGCAGTTCCACCACTTCATCTTCACCGCTGTCCTCCTCTTCCTCCCTGGATGTCTGCAGCTCCAGGTATCGTTTGGCGGGACGGTTAGCGCCCTTGCTCCACACATGGTCGGCCTTGTTCTTATCAGCCTGGTCCGTGGAGGTTTGATCATCCCAAATTGAAGCTTGCATGGTGCTGTCAGCTCGGTCTCCTGAATCAGTGCTTTGAATCCCAGTATAGGGAGCCACTGCAACTGTAGACTTACTGGAGCATAACCCCATGAGTTCTCGCTCGGTGCTCGCTTTCTATACCAAAATACTCCTTCCGCATTAAAGACTCCTCTTTAAATAGGAAAGCGGCTAATCTTGCTCTCACTTCTCATTGTAATCCAGAAAAAAAGGTTATTGGGAAGCTATTTTAGTATTTCCCTCTCCCAGTTGGTTTGAACAGAAGCCTTTGTCTTAACACTTCTACAGGATCTGGAGAGCTCTTCACTTCACATGTGCCAACAGCCTGCCAGCAGAAACATATGAAGAATGGCTAAAAACAGTCCGACTCATTTATTATGTTATAAACAACAGTCAAACACAAAGACCAGAGCTAGACTAGTAACTTTCTGTCTCCATAACCAGTCTGACATAAACAATAGTCTAAACCAAAAAACAATCAGAACAATTGTCAATTTCCATTTCCAAGTAGTTTTGCCATTTTAAACTCACTGGATATTAGCAGTGTTGTAGTCGAGACCACCTCACTCGAGTCCGAGTCGACACCGAGACCAGAGAGAGTCGAGTCCGAGTCAAGACCGAGTCCATAGAGAGTCGAGTCCGAGTCGAGTCCGAGACCAGAGACGGTCGAGTCTGAGTCGAGACCGAGACCAGTGAGGGTTGATTACCTAATTTACTTTTATTTACTTAGAGAAATCCTTTTTTTTTTTTTTTACTGAATTTACTTAGAGTTTAAAAAATATGATCAGTTTAGGGTAAAAAGGCCACATAGTAGGTGGTGTTAAAAGTAATTTTATTACAATTTGTCATGCGCAGTTGCGCACTAGAAAATCACCAATCACTGGGCGTGTCAATCAATTTAAAGAAATATTTTATTAACATACATTAATAATCATGAAAAATATTTTGAATTGAACTCGAGTGGACTCGGGAATAAGTCCGAGTCCTAAAAAAAAAAATGTTCGAGTACGAGTCAATTCCGAGTCCAAATGGACACGAGTCCATGACAAGACCAAGACCATTAAAATATGGTCTCGAGACCGAGTCTCGAATACTACAACACTGGATATTAGTGCTACAAAGGATGTTTATTGTTGATTCACTGCTCTGATAAATGTGACTTACGATTTTCTGATATTGTAAATAACACAAAGATTATGTTTTACATTCAGTCTTTCTACGCGTCAAGTTCAATGTGTTAGTGACAATTTGTTTAAACTAAACTCGACTACTTAACTTGAAAAGTGAGGACACCCGTTGCCTTAAAATTAAGTAATAAACTTCATGTGCAATTGAAAAGAAAAATTAAATTATGAACTTGACAATTCCACATTACTTCAAATTTTGAGTTTCCTAAATTTTTTAAGTTAAGTCAACTGATAGCTCTGGTTAAAGTGATTCATTTGTTTATTAATCCACTTCAAGTGTATTACTATTGTCTTTAAAAGCATTGTCTTTTAATAATCTGGATTTAGGTGAACATGTTCATTTCTTCAATAAAGTGTGTAGGTGTACAAGCAAGTTGAAGTTTACAGTTTTTTTATGCTTAAATTCTTTCTCATATCAATTATAGGATAATTATTCATCCTGACCACCTGACACAGCTACATTGGCACAACCTATGGTGTGAGTTTGAGGCAGGACTTTCTGTTTATCCAACCAATGGCAGACGGGGGACAAACCCCCCCGGCATTATTTATAAGTTATGTTACACACTTCCCACCTTAATATTAATGTTTTTGTTTGTTTGTTTTTTGTTTTTTTGTAAGGGCTGTTAAAGGGGTATTAACATTAAACTACCACAATAATGTAATGCATGTCATCATAGACATTCATAAAATTGTAATTCATATAGCAGTATATAGGAAAATATTTTAAACAATTTATAGGAGCTTTTGAAATGATATGTTGTTCACATGCAAACAAAGAGGAAAGCTGGTTAAGAAAATTAGATCAAAAGTCCCTTTTAAAACCCATTTGATGGACACTCTCACAATGATGCTGATAAATGCATCAGAAGAGATTCAAAAGATTCGCCCATTTGCCATTGGGTAAAATCATGTTTGTGGGCATGAAGACTAGTACCCAGCCTGAGAGGGATTTCCCTCCATGGAATTTTACTCCATTGTATTCATGAGCTTAAAAGCTGAAGCGCTGAAAACACATCAATCAGATCGATTTAAACCGTATTCACGACAAGTCAACGTAGAGATTATGGATACCATCGTATGCTTCGTATTTCTGCTGGCCGTTGGTCTTTCTGCTCAGAGGTCGATTCGTTCTGTTACATCAGAGTTCCAGTTCGAGTTCTATGAATTGGTGAGAGAAATAAAACTGCAGAACGGTGGAACACTTTTGGTAAGTACAACTCATGCTACAAACCAGACTCTTTTGCAAAAAAGCACACATTTCTAATATAAATGTTCAACTAATCTGACATACTTCATTTCATTTGCAGGACTGCTCAGAAGATTGCAGTGAGGTAAAGGTAAGTACTCACGACCTGTTTTTGATCTACTTGATTCAGAGCTTTTACTGTAGAGTGAGTGCTGGGCTCCAGAATGTGCACAACTTGAATCATATAGACGTTAATACGCTGGGTCTCATACATGCTGTTGAACCACAGACTAATGCTTATCAGAACAACATGAGATGGTATCACATTTGTGCACTGTTCAAACTTCCTTTCCATTTGCATGATCGTTCCATCTGTATAAACTGAAATCCTTTTGCCACCATGAGAATACCTTTTGTTTTGACACAGCAGGTCTTCTCATTATTAATTCACATCCTGCTCTGCTAGACTTGGAAAGATTTTGCTTTAGACAGACAATACTTTAGACAACAAGTCTACTTTAATAAAGCAATAACAGTGGATTCTTTTTCTCATCCAGGAAACAGCATGCCAATGTGTCCATTTCGACCATTGTATGGTAAGAGATGTTTAATTTACATCATGCTGAAACACGCCTCAAGTTAGCTGATGTGCGTCATTTATTAATGATTAGATCTTCCATGTGCTTTGTTTAGGCTTCCTCATTACTAAATTGTGCTTAAACCGTCTTTCCATTTTTTAGAACAGCACAGTTTTCACCTGCATTTCAACTGGCCTTCATAGGCTCAACTTTGCCTCTTCAGGAGAAATTCTCGAGAGACTGGTATGTTTGCCTAACATAACATTACATTTTTTCCCCTAAAATTACATGAAATTATGCTAAAGGAAGGAAAAGCTGTTATGATTATCAGTTAACTGACATGAATAATGTGCAATGTGTACTATTCAGTTATGTTGGATATTTAGAAGAGTTTCTGTAATATTTTGGGATTTTGTGTGGAGCTGTGATAGTTATGAGATCGGTTTCGTGAGTGTGAGATGTGATTTAGTGAGTAATAACAATAGGCTACTGTTTCAGTACCAGTCTTCAAATAATTTTGGCCCTCTAGTGGTAAAAAAAATAGGCTACATTCATTTTGCGGAATAACATTGTTTTGGTTGTGATTCGGCTCTGCGTGACTGTGGAATCGGATGAATATATTTCTTTCTCATTACAACAGAGAGAGAGAGAAAGAGAGCTCGTTAAACGTTCACAAAGCTTAAGAGACATAACCAGTTTAGATGAAAATGATCTGGACTCAAGCTGACAAGCCGAAGACATTACTGTAACTATAACTACACATTAAGACACGTACTTCGTTGAAAATAAATTCGAGCACAGCTCTATAACAACCATAATGACCCTTCTTAACAGATCATACAATGCACTTTAGAGAGCTATATGGCAATTTATGTTCAATAAAATAGGTCCTACCTTACTCACCAGTTGAGTAGCCTAACGTCATCTCTGCGTCGCTTTTACGACATTTCAAATCACTCCGTTGTCCATCTCCGAAAAGCCAAGCCAATGTTCATTCTTGTTTTATAACGAGCTCTGTCACCCTCGCTTTTTGCGAGCAGACACTCCTCTGTTCTGCGTTTTATATGATTCCCCTGAGGTTTGAGATTTAGCTGCTCCATGTTAACTTTTCTCGTTTGTTGTGAGAGACTAACCTATGCCACTCCCACATCATCTGGAGCACCTTTCTCTATTTAAGGAAAGGACCCTTAAAAACACAAAAATAAATACAAATCAAAATATACACAAATAATAATCTTGATGTAAATTTGTAATGTACATTTATTTTGTAAATTTTGAACAAAAGCGGTTTCATAAGTGTTTCTTTTAGTCAAACGTTTAGTTTGACAAATGTTAGGAAGGTAATTTATCATACCACAGTATTTTAATTTCATTTAGTAAATCAATCCTGAATTTTGTTGACCCAACTAAACTGATTTAATGTAGGCTAAATAAAGTGAATTGTTTATTTATTTATTTATTTATTATTTTTTTGAATGATGAAGAAAATAAAGTACTTTATCCATTTGACAGACTCACTTTCCTGGCCTGAAATCAACACCAGCAGACCCACAGCAATGGCACACACCGGTGTCTCCTAGACGCTTCCTCAACTACATCCTAGAACAAGATCAAAAATTAAATGCGCAAATAGGTTGATATTTATAATGATCTATTTATTTGCTTTGTGACATGATTTAAAATGATATGTTTGTTTAATTTATGAATTATTTATATTTGTATATGTGAAGAGTTCGGATGCAAAAGCCTCTAAATGCCATTTGAAATTTTCTTCTAAAATGACCATTTTTATCAAGCTTGCATATTTAAGTTCAGTAATTTCACTTAAATGACAATTAATAGGTAATATTCATTGCCATTTAAGTGCAATTACTGAACTTAAATATACAAGCTTGATAAAAATGAGTATTTTAGAATAAAATTTAGAGGCTTTTGCATCTGAACTCTTCATGTATTCATTTACTTATTCTGTCAGTATGAATGTTTCAAATATTGAGGTTTGTTGGTTTAATTTATGACTTATTTATATATTTATTTATTTATTTATTTATTCATGTCAGTACGAAGGTCTCTAAATGTCAATACAGATTACACAATAAAGTCCACTTTCAACAAATTCTCCGATGTTTGTGTTAAAATTCAGCAAATATCTTGTTACAAAACTGTTCAAGAATACATATTAGACCAATGTGTTAAATGCTCCTCGAGTTGAATTGAAATCAATTAGAGGCAGGGTGTTGTCTTGTCTTGTCAGCACATATTCTACATGACTATTAATTTGTATTATGCTACAAAGACAGAAATATAAATATACCAGAATCTAAGATGTTCAAAAATCACTATTGTCCACTGGCTTCACCATGTCATGTTAAGATTAAGCAAGCAGCAAGCCATATTAATAAAATTATATGTAGCCCATTTTAAATGCTGTACAAACTGCTGCTGGAATTAAACAATATTATAATATTCATACAGAATACATGCTCTTAAAACAAAACCTTCATCCACTAATTAAAATACATATGACAATAATTTCTCCTAAATATTTCCAAATACACATTTTCCACCACTAGAGGGAAGCAGCGGACAGCAGGACAGACAAATAGAAACTCCAAACACAAGTAACCTGGTCTAATTTGAGAAAATAATTTGTGCTTGACAATGACAAATGTGAGAGGACAATGATGAATGTGAGGGTTTGGAAATTGTAACAGAACATAGCTACATACATTTAAATGATATATTGATTATTTAAAATATATGTATATATAATTCATAAAATATAAACATTGAAATATAACTAAAAACATACATGTAATATATTAATATAATAATTATTTAATATATTAATATAATAATGTAATATAATAATTTATTAGGCCGCAATATAACATAAATTATAAAAACTGTCAAATAATATTGTTTTGTAATATATAATTAATATTTTGAAGTTAGTCCACCCGCATGAATGTAATTTTGGCTGTTTAAAATATGTTCAAATATAGTACATCTTTCATAAGAGTGCATTTTGTGTCCTATGGTTAAGTTCTTCAGTTCTTTTATTTATTTATTTATTTTGAGGTGCTGTGAATCTGTCTTGCTTCACTTGTAATCCGGGGATGGGATAGAGAAAGTGAGAGCTGCCTTGCTGCCTTTATAGGTCTCCTTTTGGAGAAAGGTTTAAGTCTGTCTCCCATCCTCCCATCTCTCTCTCTCTCTCTCTCTCTCTCTCTCTCTCTCTCTCAGCATGGTAGTTTTTAATTCTGTGTTTGTGCAGATGGCTGGTTGCCCCATTAGCATTCATTACAGATTCCTTGAGCACTTAATTATGGAACAAGAGAGAAGAGTGGCAGACAGAAACATTGAGTCTCTCTCTCTTTCCGTCACTTCATTGCACCTTTAGGTCCGTGTATAGCACAGAAAAGATCCATGAAAATGTTTTTTTTTTTTTGTTTTTTTTTTTTAGAATGCCAAAATACCATGTTCTTCAAGTGCATGGGGAATTATATAGGGTAGATATGAAATATGGAAATATAATTTGTGTTACATTTAGTGCAAATTATAATTCACTGCTCACTTTGTCCAATTCCATGGACACAGCTCTGTTAGACTAAAATGCTGAGTTTTTGTCAACGATGATGGTCCATTCAAAAAGTCAGCATTGCACATTGAACAGACACATTAACTAGTAATTGAACAGAGATGTGAATGCTACCACTTTAATTTTAGATATTGAGAATATATCTTTTAAGTCATTATTACTCATTTTATATGGCTGGAGGAAGCATGCAGACTGCTGCAACAGAGATCCATTGCCACTCATCCAATCAAAACACTAAATGCCAAGGACACTTGAAAGTACTGGACGTTTTAATTAAGTATAATGTATACGTAATTTAAAGACTCAAATTAACATGTGGTCTGTCTGAATTAATAAGGACATATTTAAAGGAAAGGTATGTGCAAAGGCTAAAGTTGTGTTTTAACGGGGAATATCCACATAGACCAATTTAGAAGATTGTTGTTTATTTGGCATAGGCATTATAAATATGCTTCTTGTTTGTCAGTTATGAAGTGCATACATTTTTTTTTTTCAATATTCAACGAGCTTTAACACATTTTTGAATGATCTTCTTGGTACAACAACTAATAAAAACATTTGAACAATAAACGAAATGACCGTTTATTCATTCGATATTGCAAAGAGGTCCATGACTGTGCGCACTCACGGGGTTTTGCTTTCTAAATAGGCGCTCAACATGTTGTTGCCCGCTGTAATGATTTTCTAATGCGCACTGGAGTTAACGAGCCAGTCAAACATTTAGCCTAATCATTACCTTTAAAAACACAACATGAAACGGTCGCTGAACAGCCACTCAAGTCCCTAAATATACACGGGCCTGTAAATTAATAGCGAGTCAGAAGTTTGCGAGCTATGCCGCTTGAAGGCTTCTTCCCAATGTTTGCGCATACAACTCTTGTCAAACCCTGAGCTGAGACGGAATATTTTCAATAATTTACCCACTCAGTCACATAAGCCTCATAACGCCGTGTTGTAGCAGGCCAGTCCGCTGCCCGTGGGTGCGGTTCGGGAACAGGTGCAGCTCTGCCTGACATGAGATCTTATCGATGTGCAGTTCTGGAAACACGCAGTGACCAAGTTAATAGGTTACTGCGTAAACGGGTCAACGATTTCCCATTTTAATCGACAGGCACATGGTTAAAGACAAAAACGATGCCTGTAACAGCCAACAGTTTGTAGCCTACAGACGAATTTAGTTCTTTAGGCTGGTCAGTAGCCTAATGTCCGCGTCATTGTGCAGAGCTGATTCGGTTTTGTGTTTTCTTTTTTTCGTTCCTTTTTTTTTTTTGTTATTTGTTTTTTTTAAATAAGTGCTTTATTCTATAGTTCTAAAAAATTATTGCTTTGAAATAGTAATACTAATTATATTATTAGCCTAGTAGGGCCTATATGGGCTATGTATTGTATTAAAAGTTTTATTTGTAATATAGTTAGGCTATAATAATAATAATAATAATATCCCAACGGCATGGTAATTATTATGAATTTTATTAAGCTATTAGCTCAGTAGCCTAAAAACAAAAAAAAATTTAAACCGAAATTATCTAATTCATCAACTAGAGAAATAATAGGCCTAAATCTATTGAAGCTGGATGAATGAGAATAAATAAAACTCATTGCAGTTAGACTCAAATCTGTAGAAAACATTATTAAGATTTCAAATTTAGTACAGAAGGGGTGTGTATTCTAGGTTTGCTCAAATGAAAAAAAAATTATGTTTGTTTCATATAAATGCTCTTGTGGTTTTTGTGGTAAAAAAAGCAATTGAAAAATCGGTTTATTGTAGGCTACTTGGCAATATTTTGGATTGCTATTCGGCACAGCATCGTCACTGCCTAATTGAAAAAATAGGATTTTTGTTGGCCCATATCTATATTTAAATGAGTTAAATGAAGTAAAGTTCAAAAGCAAACATTTTGCTATAGCCTCCTTTTAACGAAAGGCTGGAATGAACTGCAGATTGCAGTCTACATCCTGAAGGCTTGCGTAGCCCATAGTTGGAAGTGTGACAAGGAAAATAGTTCTTGATGATCTACTAGCGTAGGAACTGACCTGTTGGAAGCAGCCCCATTGAAGTGAATGATCAAACTAATAGAGTTCATTATCTGACCCAAATGAACATAGGACCCGCCCACCGCCCGAGCTCTATGCGCCAATGAGTGGCAGTCTCACACGACACTGTGACTGTGCGGCGTCCCTCAAATCCAAATCCATGGGTCTCGAGCTTCTATTCTCACTTTTTCTTTCATGATTTATGGACACTCGTGGATCGATGGATTACACGGCAATTGGCAAAAGTAGGGAACATTAAAGTGTTTTATATTTAGTTTGTGTCTGACTTAAATATTGCTGCTGATAGAGGTCACTAAAGGAGTTGTGAAAGGACGTAAAGGCGAACCTCATCAGTTGGACTGTACTGGTACCGTCACGGACAATGTTTTCGGCAACGGGGAAGCGCTGTTTTACCATTGAGTCTTTGGTGGCGAAGGAAACCCCTTTAACACCAGAAGACCCCATTCGCCCCACCGCCCTAAGCTACTCGACGCCTGCTGACAGTTTTCTTAACGGGTATCAAAGCCCCGCAGGCCGCGCGCTCTATCCAAACCCTGAACTGGTGTTTTCGGAGACTGTGAACCACGCTCCTCTTAGCATGCACCCACACTCGCTCGGCAGCACACACCTGCAGCACCCGCACTTCTTTGGCACGCAGCACCGTGAGCCACTCAATTTTTACCCGTGGGTCTTAAGGAACAGGTTTTTTGGCCATCGATTTCAAGGTAAGAATCCAACTCTGTATATTTGTCAAGCACGCACGCATTATTAAACAACTTTTTCACCTAAATAAAAATATTAAAATAGCCTATATGCATAATTTTTACACGTAAATGCAATAGGTAAAATACATTGCTGTGCGCCGGGGCGTGTCTCTGAACTTTTCTTGAAATGGCCAATTCTCATAAATGCCCCCCGCGGCAACAGGCTATTACCACTGTGGAGCGGGATAACACTGATAGATGGAGGTTGGATTGGGAGATAATTCCGGTTAAGCTGCAAATGAAAATCACAAATGATATGCTTGCTTTGCCCATGCCTTGAGGCGATACTACTTAAAGAGGGACACATAGATTTAGACAAAGCGGTCCACGCACAAAAGCTCAATGTCATATCTTCCAAAATGAATGCATTATATTCGTATAAGCTTATAATAGCAGCAGAACAGCTCTGATAACAGTTATTGCTTGATCTTGAGTTCTGAATGTCCCCGTTTCATGTTGTCAGCTGCCTATACGGCAAAATGAGATATGTTTTATAGTCAGTAATGTCGTTTGGGAGTTCTTTTTTTTAACATAATATTCGACTGCCTCTATTTTAATGTCTAACCTTTAATAGTTTTTTACCTTATTGTTTGACTTAATTAATGTTATTTTGTTATATCAGTTTTCTATTCCACGCTATCGCCTTTTAATCACTGTCTTTGCATCGAGAGATAATGACAGATGACGAATCTGCTCTGATGAACTCGTTACAGCTAATTATTAGCACTAGGCTATTTAATTTCAGTCATTCGATAAATTGTCCTCTTCTGGTGTTCAAGCTGTCTAAAGACGATGAAAGTAAACGAATGTAGCATTTAATTGAATTAATTGGCCACAAAACGGGTAGGCCTGTATAAAGGTCAAATATTTATTAAGCTAACAGTGTTAATAATTTAGCTAACTGTGATGACCTTTAAAGAAGAATCTAATATGAGGGTAAGTGCATAAAAAAAGTCTAAATATTGGCTGTTCCTAAAAATGAATTCATGATCGTGAAACCTTTTTAACTGAGAACATTTAAAATCGACATACTATTTTTATAGGCTACTTAATTATAAGGTTGCACAGCTATGCGTAATGAGTGTTAAATGAATTGGCCATTAATAATAAAAACTGTTTACATTATTTGGACTTTATATTGTATAGACAAATATATACAAAGTCAAACATTTTATTCTATTTTATTATGTCCTATCGCGGTAGCCAACTGTCCGCCAATTACCTTGATTTTTTTTAATATATACATATATATATATATATATATTCAGTCAGTTACAAATAAAAAAAATTAAAATAGTCGGCCTATTCAATTATGTAGTAAAGCATTTAGACTTTTCTTACAGAATAAGGCTTTCATAAATCGCAGGAATAGCCTAAAATTACAAAAGCTGGAATGGCATAATCTTTACAAACATTATTAAAATGTTCTAAAATTATAACGAATAAACTATATTTCAATCATATTTAATCAATTAAAATGTTCTAAAATTATAACGAATAAACTATATTTCAATCATATTTAATCAATTACAGGCCAAATAATTAAATGCATTAAAGCAGGGTATGCTAGTCTGCATTTGTGACACTTTTTGATAAAGTTGATATGTTAACTTTTGTTGAAATGAAAGTGATCATGGTCCCACTTAGGATAGTTTTCTTCTTGGGTTTAATTAACATTACTTCAGGTTGTCCCGTGCTATAGCTTAAAAAGAATCCAATTTCTATAATCAAGTTATCTTATGTTGATTAGTGTTATTATAATTTCAGGGAACGACGTCTCACAGGACACGCTGTTACTACACGGCCCTTTCGCGAGGAAGCCCAAACGGATCCGCACCGCGTTCTCGCCCTCTCAGCTCCTGCGCCTGGAGCGCGCCTTCGAGAAGAACCATTATGTAGTCGGAGCCGAACGGAAACAGCTCGCTAACAGCCTCAGCCTGTCTGAGACTCAGGTAAACACGAGGAAACGCATGCTACAACACACAACAAAAACATGCTGTTCATGCGCGTATAAAATAGGTACTTAAAGTAAATAGCCGTTCAATAGAGAAATTGCCCCGTGGAGATAACTATTTCACAAGTAGCCTAATTACAGATAAAAAGTAGCCTAGGCTATTGCTAATTAAAATTATTGGAGCAGCAGAACTACATGTTTGTTTCAAAAATATGTTTAAACAGTAAATATGCCTAATATAGGAAACTGGGGACTAGCCTATATTAACGAGACACTTCTTTATTTTTAATGATTAATGTTGCACTGACAAGCTGTTGCTGTTGGCCTACACGATAATGTAAACAACACTTGGGCTGCTTGCTAAATCCAGAAACGGGCCAGAATCCCCGAGTCTGAAAGGACGCTGGCTGGCCATGTGTCAGTTGTTTGCGGCGCTATGACTGTGATGTAATTTTATTTTAGGCCAAGACTTCAGAGGGATGAGTAGTTGCTTTTACACAGATGCCACTATAGGAATAACCCCATTCAACCTGATCCGTTAAAACAATGATGCAAAGATTATTTTTAAAACGTTATAAATGTCAGAAGAAATATAGGCTATTTGATTTGTTAAATTTTACATTTCCAAAAATCTAAACGGTGGCAAATTAATTGTTTTCTTTTATGTTCGTCTACATTTGCTTCGAACTCGTCAACTGGCAGGGTTTGAAGCATCGCAACATAGATTTTAATTTACAAAATCTAGGTCTGACGCTGGGAATTATCATGTTATTTTGCTGCTTTGTATAGGCCCTACCTATGTTTATGTTTTATTGAAAAAACTAACCTACAAACGAAAATACACCAAACAGGCTTATTCACACATCTAAGGAGAGAGGCAATTTTGGTAAAATATGCCAATAGGCTACATATAGGCCATAGCCACGTGACGTTTGTGAATTGTTTTATTTAGGCTATATGCCTGTTTTATAGAAAGCGATTCAGAACACAGTCAGCATCTTGAGAATTTATTAAATGTAGCCTATAACGCATGAGACCACTTCAAAAAAATTAAATAAATAAATAAATAAAAATGGGCCTTTAAGCTATTTGTTTTCCGCTTCTGCGCGGTTGTTTTTAGCTATCCTAAATTCCAGTAGGCATTTTAATCTCTTGACATGTTTGAAATGTAAACCGGCGTTGTTGCAAAAATAAACCCGTCTTTTTAATTAGAAGGCCTAATACACTAAATCTGCTTTATATTTTGAAAATCTGGATGTAGGCTATTTGAATTAAATTAAAATGTAAAATCTATACTTTTTATTTGGGATTATCTGAAGAAACGTATTCGTTTGAATTTCTTCTGATAGGCATAGGCCTACAACACAGTTCTGAAACAGTTCTGAAAGTGTAAAAAAACATTATAACATGAATGAATTCGAACGTAGACCATATAGTCTCGTAGTGGACTGCGTGTCATGTGGTGTGAAAATGGTTCGATTATGCGTTTGAACATGATGTGTCACTCACGGTCTGTTGTCTTTACCAATATGATGGACAAACTGTCAACTAGCCATACTCACCAAAACGTTTATGGCACTGATGTCCTGTCTTGTGCTCCCCTCAGGTGAAGGTGTGGTTTCAGAACCGCAGGACCAAGTATAAGCGACAGAAGCTGGAGGAAGAGGGCCCGGAGTGCACACAGAAGAAGAAGGGAAGCCACCACATTAACCGCTGGAGGATTGCCACCAAACAGAACGGATCTGAGGACATAGATGTCATGTCTGATGCCTAAGACCAACCTAAACACTGCCCAAATGAACACACAAGACCAAGAAAAGCACTATTTATTTAATGTTATCAGTCATGGCATTTCAGATTCTAATCCTAACTGCAGAGGACCTGACCATGTGTTATGGATGAATTAAACCAGTCAGGAAGTAATCTTAACCCAGGACTGAACACTATAGTTGTTTAACATCTGCTGGAATCTAATGTTTGAGACATGCCTCACCTGTAAGAAGAAATCATTTTCTTTCTCTCACTTTTTTTTTTTTAATTGTATTTAAAACTAACAATTAAGTTAAGTTGACAAATTTTAATTCTGATTATTTTGTTGTTTCTGTGTTGAAATGCTTTAAGACATGCTAATGAAATTGAGGGCAGTTTATAATAATTATTTTAAATGCAACAAACCTGAAATAAGTTAAGTAATGTGAGGAATCAGTTTACCAGCCAGTTTTAACATGAGCCATCTTGTACGGCAAGGGTGTATGTGTCTGTGTAAATAATGGTCTCTGTATCTAAAAAAGTGTAGGAATTTGTGTTAAAGCGTTTGACTGTGTGTGCGCGCGTGTGTATGTGTGAGTAATTTGCTTGCTGTCATTCAGCAGGCCTACTGGTAAATACAGGCTGATGTATGCAGGTCCTTGATCATTCTACTGGAGTCATAAACAAATGAATGTTTGCCAATTTACACATTAGCTTCTTTATAGTGTTCATTCACCTCTACTTTTCAAGAAAAACATGATCAAAATGTCCAAAATTAATAAAGATGTTTCAGAGACAAACCTCATTTGTAGCTCACACCTTATTGTTCTAAATTTAATATATATATATATATATATACTGATTGTAAATATATGTTTTATAACTATTTACTCGTTTAAAATGTTTGCACACTCAGACAAAGGGATAACGCCTGCCGGCAATTTTCCTCTCATCTCACCCTGCTAACTTCCTGTCAAAAGACACGGAGGAAGATTGTGTTAAACGAACTCACAGGTGACCTTTCACCTCAACATTTGACCCTGAGCCTGCAGAATGAGCAAGGGTTGTGAGAGTGAAACGCACAGACTGATGACACCCGAGTATCACTGTCAAGTACGACAAGAGCCAATTGAGACGGGGTGAAAAAGATTGTTTTGGTAGGTTTGTTTTGAGGCCATTAGATATCCAATCCTGTGTGCAGGTGCACACATCACATCCTCTGCAGCTTTACATCACGCATTCCATGCATTCCCGAGAGCACTCTTTCCTCTGAGAAAGTAAAAAGACTGAGAAAAAGATAGATGTTTGTGTGTGCACACGAAACACAAAAGAGTGCGAACACGCATTTCATTGCAAAAACTGAATAATCTTAGTAAAATGTATCATGCTACAGTAAAAACTTAAGCCATCATGGAATCAAAAAAAATTTTTTTTTTACAAAAAATATTTCAGTTGTTACAAATGATTTATCAGAATACTTTTAATTAATGTGCTCTAGTAATCTTTAATCAAAATCGCTACCCCTCCCTCTTACAAGGATATCTCTTCACTCCTCTGATGATGCGTTTACTGGAGCGAGGGCGGGGTAAACGGTCTTACTTGAGAACGACCAATAACAAACCACAACCATCCAACCATTCAATCAATTCCTAATGGACAAAATTGAATCCCAACCTACATTATTATTTTCTTGTTCAAGAAGCTGTTTATAGGATCACAATAGGGAAAAAAAGATGATTGTATCTTCCCTTTCATCTATAATATGATGAAAAACTGCAATATATCTACTGAGATATTTAATGTAATTTAACATTAAAATATTGTCAAATGTTCCGTTTTTAATAATAAAAAAAAAATGTAAACAGACATTCCCAGAATTTTGTGGAAGCTCTTTGGGGTTTTGTTGCATCTTATGTTGTTAAAGTTATGTCCATTGCATAATTTTAGTATTGTGTTACCATTATGGTGTTTTGCATTTGTGTGCACATTTTATGTATTAGTATTTACCTCAACTTGTGGAAAAGCTATTTGTGATTCACCATGAACAATTTTTTTTTTTTTTTATTTAAAGGGACGTGTAGAATTCAGAAAGCCTTTTTATTAGCGACACTGGTGGTCGTTAAGTGAACTGCAGCTCATGCACACCCTCCATAGTAATACGAGTAAGTCTCAGATGGCCAAATCAGTCAAATAACATACAAGAGACTGAACATGATTCAAGGCCTAATTTACTCACCAGGAAGTTCTTGTTCCTGAAAGTTCTTTGCTATAAGTAATACCTTTGGAGTAATATACTGGTAACAACATCCTGACACTGCACGCTGCTGAGAGTGACATTTACACAGAGGGTGCATATACTACACCAACACTGGAACAACGAAAATGGTATTTTATGAAAAGTAGCCTTTTTTATGAAATATCTAGATAATCATTTTATTGTTGTTTTTTTCAGATGAGAATAGATTAGCCAGACCTGTCCGTCACAGGACAAATTACATTCTCATAGACCTGATTCAGTCATAACTCGATTTTTGACAAGATGTTTTGTCTTTACAAGGCACTGTTGTGCTCACATGAAATCCAATTTGAATTAGGCAAAACCCAACAAAACCATTTTTATCTTAATTATGAAACAAAAGGGTAAGAAAAAGCACCAATGTTACCTTCATTAATCCGGTCTGGTGCATGTTGTGCAACTGTTTCTGTGTATGGCAGTCTAGCATGGTTAATGATTCTACATGCGGCTTCATGTCATGTCTCTCCTCACTACTGCCCACTGTGATCTGTTCCCGTGACAACCAGGTAGAAAAACACACAGGTCCACTCCCTCACTGTAGCGATGGATCTAACGATAAAATAGAGGTTTACAGGAAACATTTTACAGCCCTGTCAAAGGAACTCAAACACATCCAAATAAAAGAAGAGATGTAATCATCTAAAAACAATAGAACGAATGGATGGAAAAGGAAGAAAATAAAGCTGGAATTGTAGACTTGTGTGCATTGTTTCCATTCATTAACCACGATAATAATATTTTAAAGGATTTCTATGTATTTCCTCGAACAAAGCCAAAAGGGCAAAAGCATGTGATTTTATCGTTCATTTGAGTGCTTGTACTTAATGCATTGAAAGATTTCGAGATAAAATACAGTCTCATAAAGTATGTTAGTACTAACTTGTATTAAACAGTTATACAATAATCTCTCTGTAGCAATGGAGCATATTCTGCCATTCTGCTATATATATTATTAGGGCTGTCAAACGATTAATCATGATTAATCGCATCCAAAATAAAAGTTTGTGTTTACAAAATATGTGGGTGCACTGTGTATAAGTATTTTGTATATATAAATACACACACATGCATGTATATTTAAGAAAAAAAATATTATTTATATATAAAATATTTATATTTATATATAATATAAATTATATATAAATCTATATACAGTATATACACGAAAATATGTCTTAAATATATACAAGCATGTGTGTGTATTTATACATGTAAAATAATTACACACTGTGCACCCACATATATTAAACACAAACTTTTATTTTGGATATGATTAATCGCGATTAATCGGTTGACAGCCCTAATATGTATATATATAGGGCTGTCAAATCGGTTAATCGTGATCGCATTAATCGCATCTAACATTAAAAGTCTGTGTGTGTATTTTTTTCTGTATATACACACACGTGTATATATATATATATATGTGTGTGTGTGTGTGTGTGTGTGTGTTTGTGTGTGTGTTTATACATATAACATAATATATATATATATATATATATATATATATATACATACACACATTTACAAAATTTTATGTTAAACGCGATTATTCCCAATAAATCAATTCGACAGCACTATATATATATATATATATATATATACTGTATATACACACATTATAGACACACACTCACGCATTCTTCAGGCTACAGTAGTTGCTGTAGTAAAAAAGAAAAAAAATTATAATGAATGACAAAAATGTAACAAATAAGGTTTATTAATTAATATAGATAATAATAGAATATATATTTATATATCATATAGCATTATTATATTTTTTAAATTTCAGTTTTCATTCCTATTCATTCTGAAAATGATTTATGGTTCGCAAAGGAATTATAAGAAAATAACACAAAGGCAGCTGAATTTTGTGTAAACAACATTTTTTCCTAATTACAATAGTTTAAAATATCAAAACTGGTTATTTATTGTTTTAAGACAATTACTTTGCAAACATTATAGTTACAGGCAGTTAGTACAGAACTGTATGTGTGAGAAGGCTGATAATTATGTAAAATTATAAGTAGATCAGAGGGAAATTCAGATATTCTCTATTTGCCACTGCCATGTTCAAGTACAAGGCAAGAGGATGATTAGCACTGGTGTGAGTCTGCCTCTGTGTGTGGCTGGGAGAGGATTCACACACAGCAGGCACAATCCAGTGAGACGCAATCAAAATTTGCATGTTTTCAGAGTTTTACAGTGAGAGACAAAGACATTAGTTGCTAGGTGTCGAGCATTTACTGGTTAAAGACCCTTGTTGTAGGTCAGGATCTTGCACTCAGTTGCAGCAGAGATCTCTGGCTCTAGCTCTGACACGTGGATCTGAGAGACAGAGAGCAGGTGCAGTCAAAACACAGGCAGAAACACACGCTTCAGGTCAGCGTTTACAGCTCCATTAAATCTTTATTAAAATGCTAATTTATCTCTCAATTATATTCACTTAATTCAGCTTCAACAGGAACAGAAAAACAACACGCATATTAAAAAGCGGCAGGATAAGGTTGTAAAATAAAAACGCCTCAAATAGGATTACGGAGTGTTTTTATTTTTGCACTGACATTAAGATTCAGATCTTTTGGCTACAGTGAGACAACCATTCACAGCAATCGTTAAGTCATTAAGATGTTTAAAATGTTTCATCAAATGAGAATTAAAAGTGTGCCATGTCTTTCCAGCCTCGAGCATTTTTCACAGTCAAAACTGACACTTCTGCCATCATAAAAAGCTAAAATGAAGCAGCGAGCACTGGTAAATATCCAAACCGGGGCCAAAACTTGCAATATTTTGCTCAGAAACAGATGGCAATGAGTGTGTGAGTGTGTGAGGCAGAATCTGAAACAGACATCCTGTGGGGTGTGAAAAGGTGGGGGGGGGGAGAGAGGGACGGGGGACAGGAGTGGAGTTTTTTGGGAGCGTTCGTCTGGAACCCTCGGAAAAGTGTAAAGTGGGAGCGAGAGAGTGAGAGGAGAGGAGGAGGGGAGGGGTGGGAGAGGAATAGAAGTAGTTGGCAGCACATATGTCTGCAGTTCAGTAACCATATGGATGAACAGCTTAATAAACACCATTTTAAACAATAACCGTCTTCATGGCAGACAAAGAGAGGGGACGGAGAGAAAGTGAGAGCGGATGGATGGATGGAGGGAGGCGTGTGTGAGTGCGAGTGCTCACCTGACTGTTTTGGGGAAACAGGCTGATGGCAACAGGCAGCGCCAGGCCGAATGCAGAGAGACACACAACGCTATGAACGGGCAGCGCAAGACGAGGGTGCTTCTGCAGTGGAGGGAGCCTAATGCACAAACACCAACAAAAACGCACACGTTATTGGCAGAACACACACCGAACTCTGAAAATCATGAGCATTCCCGCCATTATCGTTATTGAAGTGGCTCGCTGACACTTTGGAACTGCTGTGCGTGATTGGTCTCTGACACCTCCCCCTTCCCTCCCTGGCCACAGTGTGTGTGGGGGGTTGTGGGATAGCATGCTCCGCAGGAGTTCTCCAGAGTAGCCCTGTTTTAATGAAGCCAGCGACTGCTTAATGATGACTTCATCAACACATACGCATGATGAGCTTTAATTGGCCACCAGACACTCTCTGTGTGCGCATGCTTGTGTGTATGTTAGGGAGAGGAAATCTGCGGTTGGAAGGATCAAAGTATGTTAAAGACCTTTTATCGTGTCCATCAACTGCTCTAAATAAATCACTCATCTGTCACACTTATGTGAAGAGCTCAAAGCCAAACTAAAGTGACAGAGAGCAAACAGTAGTGCTGACTTTACACCAAATATACATAGGAATTCAATGTTTAATCTACTAAGATGAATTGATCAGGGTGATGTATCCTTTTCTGCTTATGATATTGGATGCACGATATTAATTTTCATGTTACGAACAAGAGGCGATAAAATGGCTGTAAAATTTCATGTTTGTTTTTTAAACGATGTAAACTAAAGGCTACTAAATTCCATTTTAAATGCTACAAGTTAACTTAACAGTATAAAAACTGATATTCATCTTGAAATTAGCTAAAGATTACATTTAACAGTTTTATTATTTCTTAACAGCGGAATTTAATTTAGTTTGCATCTTTGATTATTGTCTTCCTGTTTATCACTGTAAATATGCTTTGAAACAATAAGTATTGTATTAAAGGGATACTCCACTTTTAAGTTTCCTACTATGGAAGTCAATGGGACCAGAAACTGTCTGGTTACTGATATTCTGAATGGGTTCGAAAACGGTAAAACCCAACTGTTTAACTCTGGGGGAGTTGTAAAATGAGCCTATTTCCAAAAAAAAAAGTGGAGTATCCCTTTAAGCGCTATATAAACAAAGGTGACTTGACTTGATTTATTAAATTATTAGTGTTTTTGAAGATTACTTTTAAGTGGGTATTAGATGGCAAAGTATTTTTTTTTTCAATGTAAAAATGGCATTCACAATTAAATCAATTATTTTCTTGTAAAAATATTTTTTGGATTATCTTGACATGGTACAAATTACTATATATTTGCAGTCAATCCCTATAAAAACATCTGAAAGTAGTAAATTAAATCATTAATATCAATTTTTTTATAATATACTTTATTTTATACTTCAAATATACTTTTTTTTTCCTTTTTAACAAATAAGCATTATAGTAATTAAATATTGGCTTGATTATGGTTAAAGCTCACTTAAATTTCCTCTAGATCATTTGATGTATCCTGGGAAGTTCATAATTACGTTTAAGTCACTTTTGTCGGAGTAAGATGGCAGTGTTCCTTCTCTTAATTACCAACACAAAAATATAGCTAGGTTTTTTTTTTTTAAACTCTACTCTAAATGAAGAACAAAGAATGCTCATCTGGTGTATTTATCTTTTTATGTTTTTGATTAATTTATGAAAATGTACCGTCAACAGATGTTGATTCCATTAATTCCACAATATTTCTCACGTACGACTCCTCCTAAGAAAATCTTACGTTTTTCACTCATAATTCCGACTTTGTTTTGGCTTTCACGTGCGCTCAACTCGTAACCACGATCTTTCCGGCATGACTTGAGGGCACCATTAGGCGGTACCTTCATGTAAAACTGCCGTCAATAAAGTCACTGACTGTTCAGCAAAGCAGCTGCCTTCGGACAAAGCGAGAGAAATAAGTGAAAGGTTGAAACACCACCATATATCACACAGACTCCTCTCAGCACTCTAATTAATCAAGGATGCCTCTGGCACTCGGTCTCACTCTTAAAGCAGTGACCCTCCTGCATCACTGTTTTTGCTCCATTGAGAGCCAGTGAGGGTGAGCTGACAGTCAGCATAGCAGAGGACAACTCACCATTTACTGCTGCTCACACACAGACACACACACATAACCGTACACACCTGTGAATCAGAGCAGCAAGAATTTGAGGAGGTTGCAACATAGTCTATCAGTCATAAAGCCTATCAGATTCTGTTGAAGAGTCGATCCCATACTGTACATTCAATGAGGCCCAGAAGAGGCCCAAGTGAAAATGAGCGTTTGCCTTTTCTAATTTGATATTTAAGGAATTATATTATCAGCATAGCAATTTGAGTAGTTATAAAACTTTTTTCCCCAAACATTTTCCCTAAAATGGGAGAATTTCCTCAGAGATTTTTAATGTGGACTCCAATGTCACAGGACAGATAGCCAGACACTATATATTTAGTTAACCTAAGAGCTAAAATCTCATTCCAAAGTGTCTATGATTTTCTTTCCTCGGGGAAACGTAAAAGTAGATAAACTATTTAAATGTGCTCAGTTTCAGTTTTTTTTGAAAGGAGTGTCTGAAGCTCACCAAGGCTGTATTTATCATACTGAAATTCCAGTAAAAACAGTAATGTTGTTAAAATAATGGTTTTCTGTTTTAAATGTATTTTAAAATGTAATTTATTCCTTTGATGGCAAAGCTGAATTTCCAGCATCATTTTTCCAATGTTCGATTTCACATGATCCTTCAGAAATCATTCTAATATGCTGATTTTCTGAAATAGAAATCTTTTGTAACATTATCCAAACATCTTTTTTTTTTTTTTTTTTTTTTTTGTGTCATTTTGCATTTAATTTTTGTGTTAACAACTCCTTTAAACACATACACAAATGTGTTCACTTCAAACTGTGAAATAAAAAAAATTACCAAGACATATGGTTCATACTAGTGTGTGTGTGAATTCCCGAGGTGACGGTGCTGTAAAAATAACTCTGAAGTCTGAAATATCAAATTCAAGAGATTTTCTCTGACCTCTCCAGTATGGCCATTACTAAAGGCGGCAGCAGGAGAACAGGCATGGGCAGCACGACACGTGTCAGGGATGTCTCCATCAAAGCCTGAACAAAAAGACATTTATGAGAGCAGAACTCAGCTCTGTCATTTGTTCAGCTCACAAATTTCCATACTCACATGTCTTGCAGCCAGCTTTGAGGTGCCCACCACATTGCCTTTGTCGTCCAGTACACTGATGCCTTCTGATAGCTCGGTGTGACGCATCAGCAGAACGTTACACACATTGGCACTTGCTAAATGAAGGTAGAATTACAGTTAGAAAACAAAGGGACTTCCATTTGACGGCCAACTTCGCTTTATTTAAATCCAGCACAGACAACTGATTAGGATTGAGAATCGTGCACACTGGGTTGTTCGAACCCAAATTCGGGTAAAATGTGGACAAACCCAAATGTTGGGTTTAAAATGCCATTAAAAATGTACAGTTGAAGTTAAAATTTTAAATGACATTTTTAACCCAGCATTTGGGTTTGTCCAACTTTGGGTTCAAACAACCCAGCATTGTTTAGAGTGTGTGAACTTGACTCTCTTAGTACTGTCACTATCCCTGATACGTTTTGAAACACACACACAAATGTAAGAGGCAGTCAATGGATGAGTGTTGCAGTGCATTTTTTTAACTTAGAAGAGAATAATGGGGTAAGCTGTGCAATTTAATTTTTAAATTGTCCTCTTGGCCAGGAGAAATGAGACAAAACAAAACTAATATACCTAATTATATTTCAGAATATATCCTTTCAATTAGAAGAAAGCTTCTATAAAGTTGGACCATAGAAAAAAAATAGTTAGGGAAAAGTTGTGTCACGTGAAAGGAAAGTTAAATGACTGGAAAGACATTAACAATTTCTATTTGAAATGAAAAAATATAAACATAAGTCCTTATTGAGCAGAAGACAACTTACCATTTACTGTCACACATCAGTTAACATGAACTAACAATGAAAAATATTTCCAAAGCATTTATTAATCTCAGATAATGTTACTCTTAAACATTAATGATACATTATTAAAATCAAAAGTTGTTTCTGTTAACATTAGTTAATGAACCTGGACCAACACAAACTAACAATGAACAGTTTTATTTTTATTATGTTAACAAATATTAATAAGTTTGTTAATTAATGTACCGCTCATTGTTAATGAATATTAGTTATACATTAACTAACCTTAACTAATGGAATGTTATTGTAAAATGTTACCATATCTAGTTTAGTCATAAAACTCTAGAGGGCACAGGCTGATAGATCCTTTACATGCAATCTGCAAACATTCACATAATTACCACAAGCTACAAGCTGATTGGCTCTGATCCTGCAGCCAAAGAGATTGCTTGCCTACCATTTAAAGGAGTAGTTCACTTTAAAAAAAAAAAATGCTGATAATTTACTCACTCCCATGTCATCCAAGATATCCATGTCATTCTTTCTTCAGTCGAAAAGAAATGAAGGTTTTTGATGAAAACATTCCAGGATTTTTCTCCATATAATGGACTTCAACGGGAACCAAATGTTTCAAGGTCCAAAAGACAGTTTCAGTGCAAACTGCAAACTGTTCAAAGAGCTTTAAACGATTTCAGACGATAAATAAGGGCCTTATCAAGCGAAACGATCGCTATTTTTTTTCAATAACAAAGTTTAAGTTTTATAAGCTCAAATGCTCGCCTTGCTCTGTTCTGTGATGCGCTTTCGGGACTCTCCTGTTCGAACTCGTTCATTTCGTTCGTTGAATGAACCAAATGACACAAAAAAAGATTTGTTAATTTTGATGAACGAGTTCGAATAGGAGAGTCACGAATGCGCATCACAGAACAGAGCAAGGTGACCATTTGAGCTTATCAAGCGGAACTATCGCTTATTTTTTTTTAAAAATAACAAAGTTTAAGTTTTATAAGACCCTTATTCATCGTCTAAAATCGTTTAAAGCCCTTTGAACAGTTTGCAGTTTGCAAATGAAACTGTCTTTTGGACCTTGAAACATTTGGTTCCCATTGAAGTCCATTATATGGAGAAAAATCCTTGAATGTTTTCATCAAAAACCTTAATTTCTTTTCGACTGAAGAAAGAATGATATGAATATCTTGGATGACATGGGAATGAGTAAATTATCCGCAAAAGTTTTTTAAAAGTGAACTACTCCTTTAAATAATCTGGTTTATTCATTGCTGTAAGGCGCTAAGTCCTTTCAGAGTTCCTCAGAAACCTTCCACCTCCCCAAGCTCCACCTGCCTACAGTAGATCTGCTATGGTATTTATGTATGTTTATACTGCAGCAAAAATATCTTACATGCTCACAGCAGCATGACTGTATATCTATTAGCAGTAGAAAATCCATACTTGCCCAGCAACAGTGTGGCAGATCTAGTCCGCCAAGACCAAATGAACACTGTCATATTCAATAAGATGCTACAGCTATATATATATATATATATATATATATATATATATATATATATATATATGCAAAGAGTTTTTAGCAATACATTTGCTAGATTAGGGGTGACACATCTTACCCCACTGCTATATACTAAACTAACAGAACAACAAAAGTATAGAACTAACAGAACAAATCAGAGTACTTATAATCTGTTAGAGAGTCACCGCCTGTGGATATTGAAATAAAAGCAATCAAAACTGGAAAACATTCTTGATCTGGAAGGTCTGCGTTAAGAGGGGTTAACTGGATATAAAACAAATAGTTTCATATGGTCATGTCAAAGTGCACACATGAATTACAAGCGTAAAAATGATTAGAATAATGATTTACTTTCTGGCATTATCATCTGTGGCATGTGGTGAGATTGGTGTGGGTGTGAGTGTGTGTGAACAGAGAAATAAAGAAAGCCTGAAGCATTTTTAATTTACAGACCTTGTGTTGTGAGTTATCAGTGTTCAGTGCTGCAGTGTTGTGGGGCTGAGTTAATTGGCTGAGTAAATAGCTATTCACCTCTGAGGGGTTCAGACCCAGGCCAATTAACCACACACACACACACAATGGATGGATAACAATTAAAAACATATGCATACTAAATTTGACAAAGAATGAAGCCCTGCTTTAGGTCACCATTATAAACTGTCTTTATATAGGCGCTGATCCCAAGTGTGTCATTTTGAGGTTAATAAAAATGATACACAAATGCTGTTTCACATCAAATGTATATCATTGTGAATGCAAAAAAACTACAGCAAAATAAAATCCAAGGCAAATATGTTTCCACTGCGTTTCATTAACTGTACTTAAATGCCTTTTATAACTTACCAATGAAAAATAACAACAACAACCTGGCGGCCTGGAGACAGGGACAGTGCTAACACAGAGAGCACTTTAGGCCTAATTAACCAATTAGAGAGCGGCAGCCGAGAGCTAACAAGGTCCCGTTACTCCAGTCCAGAGAGGTGAGGGGGGAACCTGCTGATTTAATTAAAGGGGTGGGGTGGGGGACGAAAACAATTTAATTACAGCTAAGGATCCCCAAGGCATTGTGGGACAGTCTCCCTCAGCCCCTCTGGACCTGTTTGAGCCTCAGCACGCTAATGGAACACTGAGATAACATTTCAGCAGCGTCTCCATCTGACAACGGGATCAGTCAAAACACAACATGAGAACACACAACAATAAACAAACGCTCGAGGTTTAATGAAAGTCGGAACCAATGCTCATTTAGAAATTGAGTGTCATTACAAATGCAAAGACGTGAGCTTTCAGACAGCAAAAGAGCTGATAGAAAACGGCATGCATTAATTAATTAATATCTTACATTACTGAATCAATCATTTTATGTTTTACTAATCAGCAGTTTAGCAAGACCACATGACGGGAAGCCGCTGCTTGATTTCTGTCGTAAACACATAAGAGTAAGTGGTGTGGAAAATCAAGCTCACATTAATCGCTAACACGTACATAAATACACACTCTCACACACACATGCACATACCAACGGCAGGGAACGGGATGAACCTCTGCACCAGGATTCTTGTCGCCGGACTGAAATGCTCAGCTTTCTTAATAAGAATATTCAGCCCCACCTGTGCACATAATTACATTTAATTGTAGTATTTTTTTAAAAAAAAAAATATATGTTTTTTTTTTTCAACACATGAATTACAAGCATAAAAATTATTAGAATAAAGATTTACTTTCTGGCATTATCATCTGTGGCATGTGGTGAGATTTTTAGTGTTTTTAAATGTTCATATATAAATATATATATATACTGTAACATTTAAAAATACTAAAAATCTAACAAAAATCTTACTGACTCAAAACTACAAATGTATATATATATATATATATATATATTATATATACGTATACATACATATATATTGGGTCACTAAGATTTTTTTAGATAAATTAACAAAAAACACTTTTATTCAGCAGAGGTATGTCAAATGATAAAAAGTGAGAGTAATAACTTTTATAGTGTTACAAAATATTACTATTTTAAATAAATGCTATTCTTCTGACCTCTCTATTCATAAAAGAGACCTTAAAATGTACCACAAAAATTATTATTATTATTACTAATATACTATTACAACATTGACAATGATAACCAATTTTTCTTGAGAAGCAAATCCTCGTATGATTTCTGAAGGATCATGTTACACTGAAGACTGGAGTAATGATTTGCATCACAGGAATTAATTATACATTTTAAAATTTATGAAAATTTAAAATTAATTGTAATAATATTTGACAATGTTACTGTTCCACTGATTTTTAATCAAGCCTTATGTGCCTTATGAAACAATGAAATCTTACATTAATCTAATATGGCAAATATAACATGTGAAATCAAAGACATTATGGTGACAATGAATACACATTTGTTTTCATAGTGACCATAAAAAACTCCCAGTGGGATTTATGACAGGTCGTGACAGGCTGTGCTAAGTTGTTTCTGGTCTTGCCTTGTGAGTCTCTGGTCATCTCTGAGAGCCCGTCTAACAAACATCTGAGAACATGACCCATTCACATCCCTTCCCTTCTCAGCAGGGGTGTTCAGAGGGATTGTAGTTTTAATTAGTACCCCCCTCCCGCATTTCTCACAGGCATGGGGCCATTTGTAGTTGTCGTCACCATGGTTCTGCTTGTCATGCCCCTGGGCATCAAACTGCCACCCAGCAGGGCAGCTAATTGGCTCTAGAGGACACATGGGCGTGACTACAAGGATATGCAATTCAGCAAAGTCAAATACAGCATAGGGCTCTGTGTGCCTGTGTGATGCTATTAGGCTTCTTCAGATTGCTTATTAAAATTAAATTCACAGTACTAGAAAAGTCATGGATATAATCTCTGTTAGCGTAAAATGGCAATTCAAAATTTAAGATTCAAAAGACAATTCTTTCTACACATCAAATTACGTAATACAATTTTGTGTAGTAGACATGTGAACTCACTGCAATAGTAACTGCACTGCTGACTGCACCAAGATAACCCTGGAAAAATGTAGACATTGGTGTGGGCTGTCAACAAACAAACAAAAAACATAAATTAATTAAAAACCGAATTATTATGGTATTTTTGGTAACACTTTCCATGAACCTGTATTCAAAATGCATTTTAAGTGTACTCCTACAGCATTATAATGCATGAATAATGCCTTACAAAACAAATGAGTATCACTTTACAATAAGGTCTAATTTGTTAAAGTAAATGCATCAGTTTACTTGAACTAATCAGAGTAATTTTACAGCATTTATAACTTTTTGTTAATGTTAGTTAATAAAAATACAACCATTGATCACTGTTCAGTTTACAGTTTGTTAACTGATGTTAACAAACTATGGGAACAATAATCCATTATAATTTAAGTGGTTATAACTTGGTGTTCATTGTGATTTTATTCATAAGATGATACAACATAGCATGAATTGTATTTTAGTACTTCCAGCTCCAAAGTTCATTTTTTGGTTAAATATCTGAAATAAGGTCAGTGGTTAACAATCTCAAGACATTTTCATGTTTTCTTCTATGACATAAAATGTATCCATAATACCATCTTGTGATTTTTTTAATGCTTACATTTTTTAAACTGTGTTTCTAACAAGTGTTTCTAAACCCATCTACTCACTAGTCTGCTTTCAAAGTCTCGGTGTGTTTATAATCACGCAATTGCAAACTATTCTACCTCAAACTTTAAGGGAAAATGTTTTTTTTTTTTTTTTTAAAGACAGAAATAGAGTCTTCAAAAGCTTAATGGTGGTCATATGACAGTAGTACAGTTACTTTATAGCCCAGTTTTAGCTTTTGACTTGTATTTAGGCCTCAAAAAGTTGTGTTCATACGTGAAGAATATTATGATGAACAAAATGCGTAAGAATCATAAACTTGTGTTGGTCACAGAGCTTATTTTTTGCAATAATCTAAAAACCAATCCAGTTTTGTTGAGGGAACCGGGGTGATGCTAACTTATGGGTTGGCCTACAAAATATATTATCTCTGCAGCACTCGTTTCATTGCTTTTTAATAACTTAAGTTTGCATGTGAACATAAAATATGCCATGTCGTATGTACTGGTCAAAACTACATTAGTTACACCGTACCTTAGTTGCATTACGGTTGCAGTAGTTGACACAGGCGTTGTGACTCTGGTTCAGCCACTGTGAAAAACAGTGAGAATGAGTTCATAGTAAAGCGAGCTTGAGGTTAAAGTCAAGCATAAAGACCAGAAACACGTGTGTACCATATACCTGCCAGAAGATGGTGGAAGCAAATGTCTGATTGGGTAAAAGAAGTCCCACAACCTATAAATGGAGGAGTGAGTGATTTGACATTGATTTCATGTTAACATTTAGTGACCAAGACAAGTAAATTTAGATTTTTTTTCCACATTTACCTACCACTGGAGTACCAAAGGGCACAAAACCTGAAAGAAAAAGGAAAAACATTTTCTTGCCAACATGCCAACACAAAGAATAGGAACTAGATGATTTCAGGAGAAAAAAAATCCTTGATTCAATAATGGAATAATAGTAAGAATGTACACTGAACAAAAATTATAAACGCATTTTCATGAGCTGAAATCAAAGATCTTAGACTTTTTCTATGCATCTAAAAGGCCTTTTTCTCTCAGATATTGTTTTCAAATCTGTTTATATCTGTGTTAGTGAGCACTTCTCCTTTGCCGGGTAGTGAAACTCATCTCCGTCACAGAGTTGATCAGGTTGTTGATTGTGGCCTTTGGAATGTTGGTCCACCACTATTGGCTGGTGATGACGCAGTGGATAAGACACATGCCTTGGGTGTGAGAGACCTGGGTTCGAATCCACTGTGAGACACCAATGTGTCCCTGAGCAAGACACTTAACCCCTAGTTGCTCCAGAGGCGTGCAACCTCTGACATATATAGCAATTGTAAGTCGCTTTGGATTAAAGCGTCAGCTAAATGTCCACTCCTCTTCAATGGCTGAATATTGGCAGGACCTGGAACACACTGTCGTATATGCCGATCCTGAGCATCCCAAACATGCTCAATGGGTGTGTGTTTGTTGTCCATAACATACGCCTGCCCATTCCATAACCCCACTCGATCCAAAAAATGGACATCAGCAAACCACTTATCCCCACACAACGCCATATACGCTGTCTTTTATCCATCCATGAAGAGAACACCTCTCCAAAGTGCCAGATGCCATTGAATTTAAGCATTTGCGAACTGCAGTCAGGTCGAGACCCCGATGAGGATGACGAGCATGCAAAGGAGAAGTGCTCACTAACACAGATTTGGACAGATTTGTGAATATGCTGGATCAGGCCATAGAACTACATTTCGAGCCATGTTTGGTTTAATAATCAGAATTATAGTCTTTCATATGACATTATGACTTTATTACTGACCTTTAACAGATTAACAAAATCCTCATTACTCATAAGGATAGCATTGTTCAGAGGTAGCCATCATAATTTTCAGGCAGGTCTCTCTCTATCTGTTCTCTCTTTAAATAGTAGTGTTAACAGAAGACTAAAATACTCCTATTTCTGAGTGGCCCAACAACACTTCCAGACAGCAGGAGGGAGAGGGTTTAATCAGAGCCCAGCTGAGTGTGACCTTTGCCAACAGATCGGTCCAGAGAGACCCCCTACCACCAACCTCTAGTCTCCAGAGCTGGTAACAAGCAGAAAACTGCCTACCACCTATGACACACACACACACACGGAAAACACACTCACACCCTTACCTGACATGCGAAAGGGCATGGGGATCTTCTCTCCTGTGTCTGGATGGATGATGGCCTGAGGACATAATGAATCCACAGACAGCAGACAGGATGAAGAGGAGAAAACGAAAGAGAATAAGAGGTGAGATCGGACTGATGGGAGAATTACCAAGCTGAGGTTTTCCGCAATTCTCCTCTCATTACACCACTATTCAGAAACACAGTTTGCGAGTGTGTGTCACACTGCGAATGAAGATGTTGAGTGATTTGAGGAGGTTCTTTCATCATAGGAACCTGTCAAAAAGGCTTTCAACACTGTTCACACTCACCTGTTTAATCTTCTGTGCTTCCCAAAGCTATGCGAAAAATAAAGAGAAACATGCATGAAACATACATAAAACATTCTTTGTAACTGAACGCTCATATTCTGATAATTTGATTGGTTGATGTCCTCTATTCTGCTTACATTTTAATTAGCTATACACACTCTTTAAATACACTCTTTAATTGGCATATATGGTTCCATGAATAGCCTTTTAAATCCATAACCTTTTCAGTCTTCATAGTGATTATTAGATTATTAAAATGTTCTTCACATAAGAAAAACATGGTTCTTTTAAGATCTGTTAGGATTAGGATCTGCATTAAGGATCATTGGGGAATCTAAAATAGCTCTTATTTGGCGTCGCTGTGAAAACCCCCATTATTTTAGGAGTGTACCAAAAATGTACTTTTAATGGGGACTAATCTTACCTGTACATTAGTCACACCTGGAGGCAGACTTCCATTTTTGAATTGATCCAGAAGTTTCAAACATTCATTTAAACGTTTCTAAAATAAAAAAGAGAAAACAGCATTCACAGATGAACTCTCAAATCAATTGAGGCTTACATTTCAGGAGTCTCTTGCTTACCTCTGAAACAAAGAGCGTTCGCGGGTCGATCACATTCAAGAAGTGCATTAATCTGCCAAAAAATGAACCCTGAAGTGACAAGGAAACATCAAGAAATAAACCAATAAAATGCACTCCATTAAAATGTTGGGAGTTTCAAAACACTCTCATGGCAATTCAGAACTACATTTTGGTGAACTGGTACCTAATTCATAAACATTTTTCATACAATCTGGTTATGCTCCCCTAAAAGTTAGGATTAGGGGAGGACATTTAGCCCTAAAAATCATTGGTTTTCATACGAATCACATGGAACGGTTTAATACGAAATTGTCACCTTGTAAAATAGTATAGGAGAGAATGCAATAAAAGAAGTAAAATCATCATAAAAACACATTTGTTCAAAGAATATTAATAAAAATATCTAATATATTTTATAAGTTAAACATTTGCAGTGCAGTGCATACCTGGTTTAAGACAGCCCATTGTTTTTAGTTTAAAAATGCAATAGAGATAAATGCAGCATTGGAAATATAGGAAAAGTAAGACAATGTTGTATTTTATGTCTTCCTTTTTACTGAGTATAGTGTAGCGGATCTATTTAACTGTTTAAAATGGCATTGTGTGATAATCTAAGCCATTTGGCATCATATTTTAAAACAACAATGACAAATAATCTGATATTTGTCTCAGCTTATTTGCACAAAACCTATAACTACCATATATTACTATCTTCTATTGCTTGTAATTGTTTAGATTGATTTGTTTATTTATTGTGTGAAGAAGAAAAAACTGATTCCCCCCAAAAGAATCCAATGAATTCACAAAATACTAAGTTACAGGCATGTCATCTTGAGGGGCAGGTTTGTGTGGAACGAGAACAGTTCTCCCGAGAATAATAAGCATGATTATTAATAATCATATGTTCACAATTTCTTTAAATTATTCAACAAATTATTTCTCAGGTCCCAGAAACTTTCCCCAGATGCGGGAGTCAGCTGCTGATGCAGACTCTGACTCCAGGGCCGAACCAGTTGTTTTCGCACGCCAGGTGTGTCCGCCTCATTATGCGTGCGCACCAACTGCTGCTGGCTGATCTGTAGACCTAAAAAAACTTCTTCCAATGCAATTAAAATATTCAAATATGTGTGTGAGAGAAAGATTTCTAAGCAGCACACAACATATTCTTCTGTTTATCACATCTAACTGGCGGCCCTTTACACATATGAAGGACGGTATATCCGCTAGAGCAATAACAGCAGATGTGAATCGTCTGTATTAAATAAATAAATCAATGAATAAATAAATTACCTTTCAATTCCTCTTCCTCTGAGGTTAAAGTTATTGAGTAACTAATGCATATAAAATGGCTTAAATTGTTTCTTGATGCAGTGAATTTTCGAGTTTCCACATGTTTTAACAGAGTAGTGTTGCTAATGAACTTGGCACAAAACAGTTGACGATGCTTTATCTCTTCATAGTTGATGCTGAATGTGTGTATATATGCAAGTTATAATCAGATTACTTTTTCTTTCAAATGTAAGCATGCATTTATTCACCTCACTTGCACAAAAACAGATTCAGTATTCCTCAAAATTAATAAAAACTGAAAAATTGACCAATGTCCTTTTCATTTCTTAAGTCTTCTCCAGTCTCCTATTCTTTTGCAATTCAGAATGACAGAACCACTGAAAGGTTTGTTTGAGCTGTGCCCTTTTATATTGTTATTAAAAAAAAAACGAACAATCAAGCCCAGCCCAGAGAAAAATTAATGCAAAACTAACTATTGCTACTTTTCATAAAAGTAAAAGCAGAAGTTTGTTATCTTTGTAAGTAACTCAATATTGTAACACATTTTTAAAAATAACTTTCCCCAACACTGTGCGTGTACCTTTTTGTGTATAGCCTACTATATATACTTATATATTTTGTTGAAGATAGGCCTATATAATGTAGCCACAAGAGTAAGATTTCAAGTTAATCAGGGCATACTAGACAGAAGTTGCGAACAAGGGCCAGTTGCATAAACACAACCACCAAGTTATACTGTGTCTTAAAGTTACAATGAAATCAAAATAGATTTCCTTTGCATGGAATATTGCAGTATTTATTAGAAAATATTTTTAACCATATACTTCATTATTATCTGCAAAACTCATTAATCTTTAGTCAAAAATAACTTTCACTCCCTCTTTCAGCAACATTGGTGCTTCTGACAAAAATCAAGTCCTGCACTACATTTTTTCTAGTTCGAAAAGCCGTTTCACACCAGATATACGTCACAATACAAAATGGTTCAATGGAACCTTTCCATTCCATAAAAAAAAGATTCTTTATACAGGAAAAAAAAAATGTTCTTAGGATTCTCATAATGCTTTTTACACCTGTTCACTGAAAGTTTTTTGGGTCAAAACAAAAATGATTCTTCAATCAATGGCGATGCGAAACGCCGCTTTTGGAACCATTATTTAGCTAGAATAACGTTAGCTGGGAAAAAAAACTAACGTTAGTTACCGCAACTTTTTTTCCGTTTCGAATTGGAAGTGCCGATGCCACGGTGTAATCAGTCTTACTTTCCAGATGTAAACTAAATAGTTATCAACGGTATGGAAGAAAAAAACTAACTTGTAAGACTAGTCTGAGCCGTTTACAACCACGGTCCTTAAATCGGTACGCCTTATGGAGAAACCATAAGTATGCAATTGGTACAAGACGTGCATATACTGTCATTATTTTACACATGAAGTAAAAAATATATTATATGGCATTTTGGGTGGTATAGAACCCATTGTTTGAGGCTATACAATTGTATTTCTGCCAATAATCTAAAAATGTGAATTCTAGGCAACAACATAATTTATCCCATTTTGCAAAGTAGTTATGTCGCCAACAGAGGTCACTGTTCATGCGACTGGACTGAACCAGAGTGTGGGGGACGGATCGAGGTGGAACAAGCAAACACTGCAGTGGACTGTTAGGTTTTGATTTGGTTTGGTTTAACGTTAGTTTTAGCGAGTAAAAGTAAACGGCAGCTCATTCGAGCAGCAAAATTTGATTCCCCTTAAACAATTCACTTGAAGTATTCTGTCTCCATAGTCAACCCCGTCTGCAGTGAGCCTGAACAAATCCACCAGAAACAAAAACACGAAGGTCTCACATTCGTATATAGACTGGGTCCGGTTGATATTTACCTGATCAAACCGAGACTCGACGAGTCTAAAAGGAGGGCACACAGTCGATTCAGCCATGGCAGGTTTTGCATTCAATAAAGCTGTTTTACTGAGCTCTGAAACTAGAGTAGACTTCCCTCAGAGCGGGCGCGACGGTTAGTCAACATATCGTTGCATTTTGGGTAATGTCGTTTTCTAACCTATATTTCTAACAGGTCAATGGATAAATAATATGGATAAATCACCCCGTGGGTGTGATGAATATGGAAGTTTTGACTGTACGTTTCCGCCACAAAATAAAAATAAAAAGGCAATTGTGACTTTAAAAAAATATATATATTAATTTAATCTCAATTTAAATTCCTGTAATTGCGAGTTATAAAATCAAAATGCGTGATACGCAATTCTGAGGGTGAAAAAAGTCCGAATTTGTTTTATTTTTACTCGGAAACGCCGTGTGCGTCACGGGACTGAAACCCCTGTACTTTAGTGAACCCCCAAACAAACTTCCACAGATGGATGACGTTTAAGGAGTAGTCTAGTTTTAAGATTTGTCATAAACGTCAGTAAAACCTTGCTTTCCTTTTATTAATAAATTAGTTAATAAATTAATCATTACAATTTCAACCGCCTTAACTAGGCTACATCATGTGGTCAGTTTACTCATCATGACCTTGTTATTGTACAGGGTGTGACATATAGCTACATAATTTGTTTATACAAGATAGTCATTCCCCAAGTTGCTTGTCTACAAGCTGTGTTAAAAATTATGTTCTCCCAACATGCTCTAAAAAATATAAACTCACTCAGTGTGAACACATCAAAACACTTGATCACAAATGTTCTTGGGGAATCTTTTTAGCAGTTGTTTCACTAATGATTGCTTGAAATATAAATATATTAAGTAATCATTGAGGCTAATCTAATTTAGGAGGGTATATAATTACAGTAGTGTAGTTGAAATAGTGTTGTGTTTAAATAGTGGTTTCATTTTAAATATCATTGTATACAAAGACATATGAGTGCCTTGTCTTTTTTGACAAATAAGGACAGTCAGAGATGCATCCCAAAGTGAAAAGTTTATTTCATCAACAGAGACCTTTTCCTAGCAGAGATGCATAAGAGTACACCAAAAGTCAATTGAACATCTCTCAGATGAGGCATTGAATAAAAAAAATATACATCACAACCTCCAGTGGACACTCATATAACTACACCCTAAACATCCAACCAAACAGCACCTCAGGGAAGCACTTCAAATATTTTGCACCTAAAACAAATTTTTCATCTGAACATTCCCATCATGTTCGGTGCTTATATGCTGTATGAGGTTAATTTATGCCATTCTCATCCACTGAAATTTACAACCAAGAAGGAAGAATTGAGCCTATACTTTTAAGAATGAGGATTCGGGCATCAAAATTCTTTCCATTGCATTCTTACAACTTTAAAATAAACCCTTTGAAATTCTTTAAAAAATATCTAGGTTATAAATTACCTCAAAAGAAAAAGGACATTCCACACCTCTAAAAATAAAATGAAATAGTAGTCTAGTAAACACAATTTTTTATTTGCAAGTTCCAGAGATTGTACTACATAAAATGTAGCTTTGATTATCAACTTCACCATTAAAAGCATACAAATCTTCTTCTACACACACATCTCATGACACATCTCATGATATCATTCAGCCAAGGGCACTTGAACGCTTTCTTATTAGGCTGCAGGCTGTGTGTGTTTGTGAATATTTATTATATAAACTGTTGTTCGACACAGTGGCAACCTAAGCGAATATTTCATATTACATTCCATCTGTTTAGACCTAAAAAAGTATGAATCTCTTAAATTCTGCAAAAGCCTGGCCTTCACATCTATTGCTTTCTGTTACTACTGACCTTTAGATAGGGAATCCTAGGCTTAGTAATCATGATGTACATAAAAAGCACTTAAAAAAATGAGCAAAAAAAAAAAAGATTGTACAAACTTTATACCACCCCAAAATAAAGGTGACAGAAGACCTTCCCCCAAAACAAAATACAATAAAAACCATAAATATTTGCATGATTAAAACGTAACATATTCATGAAAACTTGTAAACTTTTAAGTTTAATCCTTTTTAAATGAACATTCATTAATTCACCTTCAATAGTCTGAGAGACAAACCTTCAAAACACACAAGTCCTCAACTGCTTCTAATCACAGAAATATGTTGATAAATCTCAAGCTTTCTAGCAGGGACTAGCACTGAAACAGCGTTAATATCCTGTGTTTAGAGGATTATTAGTCTGTGCAATGTACATGTGCGCTTGACTGTGTGCACTTCCTAAGCTGTTGAGAAAGAATCGTTGCAAATGCCTCAGTGTGAGGTTTTAAAAGTGCTCTATCACATATCTACATATAGTGCTACATTGTACACAGACAGTGGCAACACTGATAGTGGCAACATCTTAAAAACACCAGAATAACATTACAGTGACATTAACAGATCCATTGCGGTATTGACACTACTGTATCGTTAATTTAGAGCATAGTTTCTGGCATTTGCATGGCTTTCGTTCTCTCTTCAGATCCATTTGATCTAGGACTGTCAAACGATTAATCGTGATTAATCGCATCCAAAATAAAAGTTTGTGTTTACATAATATATGTGGGTGCACAGTGTATAATTATTTTGTATATATAAATACACACACATGCATGTATATTTAAAAAAAAATATTATTTATATATAGAATATTTATATATATATATATATATATAATATAAATTATATATAAATCTATATACAGCATATAAATGAAAATATTTCTTAAATATATACAAGCATGTGTGCGTATTTATATATATAAAATAATTATACACAGTGCACCCACATATATTATGTAAACACAAACTTTTATTTTGTATGCGATTAATCGCGATTAATCGTTTGACAGCCCTAATTTGATAGTTTTGATATTTAACAGTCTTGGGGAAAGTTAAACTTTGAACACTTCATCACCTTTTTTTGTAATATAATGTGCAATTTAATTAAAAGTGATACGTTTAGCGACAACAGAATGGAGAAAATACTGTATGATAAGGCAGCATTTGGCATTTTGTCCGAGTGGCATTTATGCAATGAATACAGTATCCAATTCATTACACCTGAAAGCACTGGCAGCGATGTACGTGCATTGGCTCAAGCAAAGGAAGGAAGAGGAAGGATACCGACCAACAAAACAAAGCTAGAAGGTCAGTTGGTGTGAGCCTCTGCCCTTAAGCTCTTAAGTAAAGTGCAGGGACATGTAGGGAGGCACAAGCAGATTCAAAACTGTCTGATTCGTCTCACGCTCCCTCTCAAGCCACCTCGAGTTTTCAAACTTGTTCTCTTGTTTAAGCAGCGGAGCGTTGCATGTCAAAACGTGATAGAAAAAAAAAGCAATGCTTTTCTTCGTGCAGTAAAAACCATTCACACTAGCACTAGAAGACTGGCATGTTACAGTCTTGCCTTCCTTTCGACTGATAGGTGGTTTTGGTGCTTAGCTGGACTATCATGTATCTTAGTGACATGTCTGGTGAGTGAATGGATCCTACCAGCTTTGAAGTTTAGCAGCAGAGTGCCGACCGTCAACCATAAATGCAAACCTGTAGTACTATACAGACCCCATAGAAGCCCAGGTATGTTCAGACACAGTTAAGAACAGCACATCTACACCCTCTCCTCCATGTCCATCACCTAGCTCTAGATACCTCTCTACATTTATATGGTTGCTGTAGCAGTGCAAGGTTGTGACGTCCACCTGGGATTTATGGAAGGGTAGTGAAGGCGTTTGTCGTATCATTTCATCTTGTTGCGGACCTGCAGCAGGGTGGGGGTCTGCTCCATGATGCGTACGAGCAGCGTGTCGATGTAATCCTCTAGATCTCGGATCAGAAGCTTCATCTTTTTTAGCTCCGTCTCACGTTTCTCCAGCAGCGCCCTTCGCTTCTCGTAGTCCTCCCGCTCCTGCCTAAGCTCGGTATCTCGCTGGATCAGCAATTTAACCAGATCACCGTGGTTCAGGTGATAGTATGAGCCTCCTCCCTCCACTAGTGGCTAAAACAAGAAAGAAAAGCCAATTTTACATTGGAAGACTATTTTTAAGTCGAGAAACAAAATGTCACTTCTGGATTATATTTTGATTTGTGATCATGGTAATGGATTTAAATGACAGAACTATCATAGAAGTAAAGTAGTACACTGCAAAACCTAACAGTCAAATTCATTAAAGGGTTAGTTCACCCAAAAATGAAAATTAAGTCATTAATTACTCACCCCCATGCTGTTCCAACCCCGTAAGACCTTCGTTCATCTCCGGAACACAAATAAAGATATTTTTGATTGAATCTGAGAGCTGGATCAGTCCTACATAGACTGCCTAAGGGACTGGCTCTTGACGGCCCATAAAGTCATTAAAGAAAAGGTTTAAATATTCCATGTGCCTACAGCGGCTCAATTATAAGTTTATCAAGCGACGAGAATACTTTGTGCGAAAAAAACATAAATAACGACTTTATTCCACTATTCCATTACTTCCTTATGGGCGCATGCGCGAGAACTGAGACGAGGACATTCTCATTCGTCTACTTCTTGTTACCGGCTGCTCACCGCTTAGGAGTATTACCGCCACCTACCGTATAAAATGATCCATATATAAGGCGCTCCGGATTATAAGGAACACTGTCGTTTTTTGAGAAAATTAAAGGCTTTTAAGTGCACCTTATAGTGCGGAAAATACGCGAATTGAAAAGCGTATGTACAGCGCGCATCTTCCTCTGCTTGTAAACAGAAAGTTTTGCGCTTCCAGCTATATCAGCACATCATCTTATACGGTAGGTGGCGGTAATACTCCTAAGCGGTGAGCAGCCGGTAACAAGAAGTAGACGAATGAGAACGTCCTCGTCTCAGTTCTCGCCCATGCGCCCATAAGGAAGTAATGGAATAGTGGAATAAAGTCGTTATTTATGTTTTTTTTTCGCACAAAAAGTAGTCTCGTCACTTGATAAACTTATAATTGAGCCGCTGTAGGCACATGGAATATTTAAACCTTTTCTTTAATGACTTTATGGGCCGTCAAGAGCCAGTCTCTTAGGCAGTCTATGCAGGACTGATCGAGCTCTCAGATTCAATCAAAAATATCTTTATTTGTGTTCCGAAGATGAACGAAGGTCTTACGGGGTTGGTACAGCATGGGGGTGAGTAATTAATGACTTAATTTTCATTTTTGCGTGAACTAACCCTTTAAATGAAATGGGTAAATTCACTCAAATATTACTGAAAGTTCATTGCACTTAATAGAAAAAGTTATGTGAACTCAATAACTGATTATATTAAGCAGAACTCAAACTGAATCAATCACAAGCTTAAGGCAGATTTCTAGTTCCCAGCATACTTTGCTTCAGACTCTGTAGAGAGAGTAAATGTTAACCTAAATGCTATTTTATGCTTTTGCACAAGATTAATGCAGGTAGGGATTTGTTAGTGTTTACTGTTGTTATGTTGGGATTTAGTTTTTGGGGCGTTACCAGAGTAGAGTAGAGCCTGTGGTTAGCTCGAGGATGGCCCAAAGCATGTTAAGACTGTTTTGTTTAAAAGTATTAACTGCACTTAGCAATTCAAGGATACGGTGCCACCAAAATCACGTACTGTCTGAGTAGATATTACATTTGCATTTAAACATACTTTGCGAAAATGTATGTTCTATATCGTATGAATGTGTGTAGTATGAATGTAATTCGGACGTACTACATCCGCCATCCATCATTATCATGTGACCTACCAGCGTCAGTTGAGTCGCTTCACTTCCATTCATAAATCCCCTCCCGTGGCCTCGTGGAATAGTAAAGTGTCCATTGAATGTGCACTTCAGAATCTCGCCGGAAGTAGTAGGTCATCCGGGGACTTTTCGTCTACTGTTTTTCGAATACTATGTATTTGGATTGGACATACTACTATATAATGATATATAATAGAGAAGTTTTCAATTTCGGACGTAGTAATAGTCTCTTGTGGTATTAGCACATGTTAAGCATTAGCCTGCCAAGTAGCTAACTAACAGGTAACTAATAGAATCAATGAAGTTTAAATTTAATAGTTTTAATCAATACAGTTGAGTTTCAGCAATGTAAAATATTTGAGTGAAGTTTAATTGTATTTTAGGAAATATTCTTTTTAGTAAACTCAACTGAAATAAGTTTAAAGTACTCATAACTATTGGTTTGTAAACTTAAATCGGCAGTCGGTTTCCTCTATTGAAAATAGTTTACAGTTCTTTTACAGTGTAGTAACTAGTAGTAGTGCTTGTTTTAATTTGATTAACATTTAAATATGTTAATGTTAGTAAATTAATATTTACAGAATGTTCATCTAAATAAAAGAATAAAAATTGTCGTCATGTCTGAGCATGATAGGTCATGGTTTCTGCAAAAATAGCACAATTGTTTTCAACGTTGATAATAAGAAATGCGCCAAATCAGCATATTAGAATGATTTCTGAAGGATCATGTGACACTGAAGACTGGAGTAATGATGCTAAAAAGTCAGTTTTGGCATTACAGGAATAAATAGAAAATAGAAATAGAAAATGGTTATTTTAAACCGTAATATTTCACATTTGTATTGTTTTTACTGTATTTTTGATCAAATAAATGCAGTCTTGGTGATCAGAAGAACATGTGGGAAAATGATATCTAATACTTTTGAAATAAACAGTGCGGAAATATTACTTTTACTAAAATAATGACAGAGTAGGAAAAATGTTTGCATTGTATTGAACTGTATAGACGCCAATAAGGAGACATGACAAGTGAAAGCTGATAAAACTGTTTTTAGGTTCATCAGTGTCAATTAATTAAATGTGTTAAATCGTTTACTCAAAAGGCAAATTTACCATAAAAAACCCCAAAACAGACTGCTTTATACTCATACAGTACCTTCTTGTCAGCATCCTGATCGGAGTGGTGACTTCGTCCTGAGTGGATGGTGGATTTAAGCTTCTCTAGTACGGAGCGACCCTCTGACCTTTTCTCATCAGGGGGTGTCAATGGCTTCACTGGGTGTGGACTAAAAGACATATTGACACAGCAAGATTAGACAGGGTACAGGGCAAAAAAGAATGGTGACAGCTTAATATAATAAGTCAATCAATTTATTAACAACAGCACACCATTTAAGATGTTATCAAGAAAAGCTCCTAAGGCCCATTCACACTAAGAAAGATATCTATATTGATAAAATCGTTCTAAATATGAAAGGTTGGGATAATATGGGAGTCCACACCCCAACTATAACAATAACAGCACAGAGAAACAATATAATTGGAATTACTTTAAAAAAAAAAAACAATTATCTAAACCAATTACAACAGCAGACGAATGAACACTGATATTGTCCTCTGGTGTGGATGCTAATATAGTTCATATCATTATAATAATCTTTAAAGTTATAGTTCTTGGTGAGAACAGCCTTTACTTCTGAGACAAGGACACAATAAAGGTTACTTTCAGTCATCATCCAACGACTCATTAGACTAGCTGCAGTAAGGGTAATCAAGCAAACAAATGTGAAGATAAAATTTACTCATGCAAGCTTCCTGTGGACCGAACCAAGTCACTCAATTGGTTAACACCTACTAATTGAAGTGAGGCTCCCCCATCCCAACTGTAGGATCCACAAGAGAGTGTGAGCCTATGTGTGATTGTCCATGGAGAAATCAGTAGACATGCTGCTACCACAAACAAATTAACACAAGAAAGAAGATGTGGATGAAGGGAAACAGAGTCACCCTGAAACCAGAGAAAGTAAAGTGCATGGATTGCAGATATAATAAGGCGTCCCAAAAGACGCCTTGCCCAACCCCATAACACCATTTTCACGAGAAACAAACCTTGCACCACATACTGTATCTGCTAAAACAGGAAATCTGTAGTTATTGAAACTGGCAAGACTGTAGAAATAGTAGATTTATGCGGAACATCGGTTTATAATGCTGTAGTCCATGCATACCCCAACACCAAAATAATTTCAATAAATGAGAATTTTTAATGTTCCAATATATTTAAGCCTATACATAGTCGAATAATCATGGGACCCCACACTATTTCTAGTTGGCCTACCTATCAATAATTATTAGTTATCAGCATTAGCCAAAATTTCCATATTACTATGGAAATGACCCGTTTCAGTAACTATAGATTTGACCTTTAAACATCATTGAAGACAATAATTTGTAAAGCTGAATGGAAGTGACTGGAAAGCCCAAGAAAAAAATAAAAAGATCTCCAGATGTGCCCATTAGATGTGCACCAGATGTGCCGATCTCCCATAACAACCACAACAAAACGAACTGAGACCTCACCTGCTCTGATGATCAAATGCCTGTGGTTTATCCTGGATAAAAGGATTGTATGATGTAGAATTCACAGGCTGCACAGTAGGAAGAGGAGCATGTCCTGGACGTGGTAATGACTCTGCTGTGGTAGGGGGAATTATGGGAAATGGGAATACTGCTATATGTGGTGTTGAGGAAGCTACAGGTGAAAGGTCGAACAAAGAAGATGTAAAGTTAAGGGTGTGGTCATGCCTTGAAGCCAGCGTTGGCTGTTCACAGAGTGAAGGTGCTGATGGCTGGGGTAAATTGGGCCAGCTCACTGGAAATAAGACAGGTGCCTCTGAATCTTGATCAGCAGGGGTTGTCCACATTTCAGCATTTCTGTCTAGACTCTCTGCAAATTCAAGGTTTGCGACTGGCCTTGTGCTAGTACAAAGAAGGTGTGTTTCAGTTGGCTGGGGTAGAAAGATGTTTTCCAGTCCAGAATCAGTTATGACTAGGTCCTGTGTGATACTGGAGGTTTGTTCTAATCCACAATCAGATGCAAACACGTTAGGTTCATTCAGCTGGGCTAAATGTAGGTTGCCCTCCGATAAAATGCCAACAGATTTAATATTATGGGATTCGTCTTTTTGCAGTTCTTGGGAATCGTTTTGTTTGGTTGGGCAGGTTTTACAGTTATTTACCAGACATGTTTCTGTATCTAATGGTGCAAGCTGAGCCTCAAGTTCTGCTATCATATCTGATGTTATAACAATTGGCATCATATCTTTGGAAAAGTCATATTTTTCAACATTGTCCCCTGAAGGGTTGCACTGTACCATTGCTTTATCAAAATCAGACTTTATCATGTTCTCAGATGATGTATTGCATGAGGGGGCTAATTTTGGTGTAAAGGTATGCGTTTCTGGCTGGAGGTCCAATAAGCAATTTCTTGGTTGAACATCCTGAGGGGATTCTGGCTTTGGCAAGACTTCTTGAAATGGTTTAATGTTTTCTTCAATGACCTGATTTTGCTTACAAGCCATTTCTGGTACAACATTTACAGATGTGTCAACTTTTGGCATAGCATTAGAGATATGGTTTGGCAAAGTGTCCTCTACAGACCAATTATGTTTGGGTTTCACATCCTGTGTGAGCTCTAAACTCTGGGAAACTGAATCCTGCTGAGATACACAAGTAATGTACTGGTCTGATTCTGCACTCTTGTACATGCTGTGGAGGAGCACACTGCCAGGTGAGAGCACAAAGTTTGGATCTGTCCCTGTTCTAATTCCAGTGGTGGGAAGGATATGTCTTACAGGATGTGTGGTCCCATTAGAATTTGTTATTTCTTGCTCTTCACTGATGCTGGCGAGTAGATTGCCCGTTAAGTCATTCTTGCATGGACTTGTGGGCAATTCACTGACCTTCTGTTTGTCCTCCTGCATGTCATAAGACAGCCTTGGAAAGGAATGACCATCAAATAGGTTCTCAGGAACAGACTCTTCGATTTCAGAACAGACATCTTTACTATTCCCACCCTCTAAGAGACCATCTCCTGACTCGTTCTGAATCATGGTGTCCATAACTGCATCAGTTTTCTCTCCATTCTTCACTGGCAAAGTAGCTGACAGAAGGGAACTCGGTGCTAATTGAACCTGGCTTCTTGAAAGCTCAGTGGTTTCAAGGGACTTTCCACTTACTGCCACAGTTTGAATGAGTGAGGCATCTGATCTCCAAAATTCTTCATCCGATTGTATTGTATTACCTGGAATTATGTCACTCTTTGGAGAAAGACAGGGCTCAATAGACTGGTGGTCTAGAACTCCACCTATGGAATCAGATTTCACAGTGGACTGTTCCAGGTTGTCACCTGAGCTGAATGGCAAAGGATCCTCATGGACTATCACAGACTCAATATCTGTAGCAGACTCAGGTGCTTCGGGCCTCTGTGATGTTTCAGGATTCACAAACACCCCCTCTGAGAACTCAATGCAGACATCATGAAGAAGGTCAACAGTGTCTGCTTCTGATAATGATGGCTCTGTGGCGTCTGATTTGGCACTTTGTGAGTTTAGGGACATCTTTGGTTGGTCTTTAAGAGTTGCGGCGTCAGAACGGTCTTCATTCGTGGATCGAGGTGACAGTGCAGGATAAGGGCATGCAAGTATATTCAGTTCAGAAAAATCTAAACTGGAATTTTCAGGCAAGGAGATTTTGGATAAATTCATGTCAAATTCTGGGAAGCCATGTGCCCCGTGATCGGTTGGGTCAGGTTTGTCAGAACTAGAGCAAATATAATTAACATCACTTCCTGAAACTTGAATTGTGTCTGCAGCACTTTCCTTGGGTGTTTCTACAGTACTTGCTGAAGCAGTTTGCCCTAAATCAGTTAGATCATTTGTATCTGACACCATTAAGCCACCCAAAGCACCTAAGGGCTCTTGATTATTTGTTTTCAGAAGGAGAGGAGGGGGTGTAACCAAATTCTTTGTTTCATTCATCTCATCTGAAGACTTAAGTCTATCCTCAGCAAAATTTTCAAATTCATCCTTTTCTGTCGGTCCCTCGAAGTGAGAAATTAAAGGATCAAATGAAAAATCAATTTGGGAAGGTCCTTTTTTGTTTCCAATCCTTAGCAAATCTGGGGTGGCATTACCGGAAGACTGTGAGCTAAAGAGAGAGGGCACATCAGGAGTTGAAGGAGCAGCAGAATGAAGCTCCTGAAAAAAAGGATTCTGCTGTGCATGTGGGAGGAAGGGATTGGCTTCAGAAAAGGGTGGGAGAGAAGTGAAGGGATTAGCGTGTTTGTCAGCCATACTCTGTGAAGGGTCATTAAAGTTCAAGGGTGCAATGGGACTTGAGAGTGACCAAGGAGACACCAGGGGGCTGTGAAAGGAAGGTATATACAGTGCACTTCATTAGAAACTGTGACCTCCATTAAACCCTTTATAACAGTGAGAAACAACGATGGCCAAGTGATCTTAACCAATTAAAAATGCAAAATCGAACAATTGTGCACCATGCATTCTTAACAAAAAAATACGTTTGCTGTAGGAAACTTCTAAATAGAGGGCACTATAATTGTTAAAATTGTGTTGTGCTTAAAATAAACTAACATATTTCTCTTAAAATTCCTTAAAGCAAAGTGTTTCCAGTGTACATACTGTGGATAATATGTTTGTTTTTGTATATATGTGATATCTTAATTTTATGATAAAAATGTGTAGTATAAAATCGGAGTGCAAAAGGTCAGATAGTTTCCAAAAAAGCAATGCCAAACATCTGGAAATACACATGATAACATACCATGACAACTACTAAATATATGACAGTTTTACAAATGCACTAACGCGTACTCAAATGAAGTTTTAAAAATTAAAACCACGCAATAGTGCCTTGTGATGTGGCAAGCAGTATGACATAGGATAGTATTTTGAAAACAGTGTCTGGCTGCACTACACTAAGACATGTAGAAACGCTGAGTTTGAAAAGGCCATAACAAATCACCCAACCGTACTAGAGGGGGAGGTGAGCGATAGAAAAAAGAAAGAGAGTTTGATTAAACAACAGGCTTTTACAGACTGACATCTTTGCCCTTTTAGTTAAGTTCAACTTCATTCTTAAACTAAATCACTTTTTGATAAGAGAGCATGTGATTGGCTGGGGTATTTGACATGTTCCAGTAGCTAAACTTCAAAGAAATACCTATGAAATCATTTGAACACATCATGTCACAGTTAATAAAAACATGCTAGAAGCTAGTTGCTAAGGAAAATATTAACAAGCCTTGTGAGTTAAACTGCATTGTAAATGGTGATTTTCGAAAGAAAACTGTTTTTGTTAGGTCAAGGCTTAACCTGTAGCCATTTAATAGATCATTAGCCATGAAGATTTAGTCTGTTATGGGACATTTCATGGGTGAATAATAACTCTATCAGCATAGATTATATTATCTTTGAGGTCTATGTGCATAAATCTGTTTATCTCACTCCCATCAGGATTTCAAGGAACTGTTTTTAAATTACTAAAGGCAATGCTATTTGACGAATCTTTGTGGGGGGTTTTTCGCATTGAAATTGCACCATAAATTATTATGCCATTAAGATCATTAACAGCAGAAGTGCAATTATTACCTGTAAATATGTTTACGCATAATAACTGAATATGCATTACTAAGCGTGCACCGACTAGGCTCAACCATGAGTCAATAAATGTGTATAGTAAACAGTTTATTTTTGTTCTTCGGATAATCAAATATCAAATTCCAAAAGGAATGTTGCATCTTTGACAGATGCAGTATGCAAACACTTGTGAGCAAATATGGTGCATTTAGTAGGGTCATTCCAAATACATGTAAGCAACTAAATTTTGCCAAAAACCCTTCCTCAGGGGTAGGGCCATTAGCGAAGAGTACAGATGGCTATCATTTCAATGAGGAATTGTGCAGTTTATGATATAGGTCAAACCAAGTACGATCATTTTAAAGGAGAAGGTTTTACTTGGACTTTCAAAACCCAAGGCACAAAAAGGTCAACATTGGAAGCAAAATTATTTGTCTGTTTTGTTTAATTAATAGGATTTAAAATAAAGTGGCAATGACGTCTTCGCACATCTACCAAATGTGAAAATATGAGATGTAATGCTGCTCTCTTTTGGGTAATCTCACTTCAAGTGCCCTACAGAGCGAGTACAACATAATGAAGCTCACAGTGGAATTTGCTCCAAGACCTCGGCAGGAAACTTCAACATGAGACTAATTTGATAAGCCTAGAATTCACAGGCCTTAATTAGTCAATATTGCTTTCTTTTTTCCTCTCAAGTTTTAATTTTTTGCAGAATATTGACAGAATATTATCACAATATTTGCAATTCCGAAAGTTAATGCAGTTTATGAGCATGTGTGTGTGCGCATTTTTGTTGCACAGCAACTTTTCAAAAACCCAAACCAAAAGCTCAGAAAAATAGAACAGAGTGTGATCACCATCACCAATGAAAATAAGAAAATATTTACCAAACAATGGACAGCATATACACACCTACACCAGAAACAAGAATGTAGTTATACTGGTTTAGGTCAGTGACAGATTTAAACTGACTGACTCCTCCCATTCATAGCGAACACAAACACTCCCACACACACATTCAGATCCATCTGTCTGCAATACAAAAATAGCACTTTCCGATTAAAATTGAGAAATCATAGCTTGGTATTTAGGGAGAACATGTGTGAAAGAGAAAGAGAAAGAGAAAGAGAGAGAGAAAGAGCGAGCGAGAGAGTTAAAGGAAATAATTCCAAGAGTTCAGGTTTCCAGGCAACACCTCCCTCTGCAATGCAGATGCTGAAACTAAATCTAAGGCTGTATGTCACAGCGTTTACCCTCACAGAACCACAAATACACACTTCTATATAGCAACTGTAACATAAATATGGCAAAATAAGTTACCTGGGTTTACTGTAAGAGTCCTTGGAGCCGAACCATCCTTTGTGTTTGACTTCTACAAGTGGTTGAGCATGTTCTGCTTCCTCTTTACTCATGATTGGCCCTTTCCCAGCCGAATCACCTCTCCCGTGTGAAAACAGGCCCCTCCTTTTCTTGCTCTGAGTCTCTGTCTCTCCAGCAGGTATCACTGTTTCCATCACCGCCTCATCCGTAACTCTTCCAGCATGCTCTAATGCTGCTACGATGGCAGCTTTTTCTTCCTCTCCGGGTTTATCGAACGACCAGCGACGGCCATCCACGGGGCCGCCGTTTTGCTTTTCTTCCCTACGGCGAGAGATGTTCTGTAGGGAGAGAGAGAGAGAAGAGCCCTTCTGAAGCACCCCGAGGGCTGGGAGCTGGGGCTCAGGCCTTGGCTTTGACTCGGACAGCCGGGTTTCTTGGGATTTCTGTTCAATTGATTGGGTTTTCTGAGGCTTAACTGGCAGCTTGGTTGCCTGTGGTTGACCTGACTGAGTTACTGGTTTGGTTGACTCTCGTTGAGGTTGCTGTAGTATGAGTGACGGAGGGTGGTGAGTAAGAGGAGACGTTTCCACCGGATTCCCATTCACGCACACTGAAGGAAGCAGAATAGGGGTGTCGTTCTCTGACGTCACAGAATGAGGCACTGGTAAGCTGATGTCGTACATCATTTGTCTGACAGGAGAAACCTGTGGTGAGGGAGCCACTGTGTGTTCTGAAAGAGAAAGAGTTTTATTGTTTTCTTAAAGTTGCATTGTAATGGACATCTTTTCCATGTCATGTCCAAGTGAAACAGATTATTCAAAAACAAAATGTAGAATGGGGACTTGATTGGATGTAGGCAAGTATGCAGTCGATTGTAAGAAATTATTGGATTGGAATGACTGGTTGAGTCCTGTGTAAATCATAAAAGATACTGTCATTTCACTGAAAGGTTGAGGTTTTTTTTTATTTTTTAAGAAAATGAGGGATCAGTCCACATCATTTTTTTTTTTGTGGTACATACAATATCAATGAATGGGGCCAATTTTTGAAGGATTTAAATGCAGAAACTTGAAGCTTATATTTTAATAAAACTAAGGTTCACTCCACTTTTTTTTTTGGAAATAGGCTCATTTTACAAATACCTCAGAGTTAAACAGTTGGGTTTTACAGTTTTCGAATCCATTCAGCAGATTTTCTGATATTTAGAAGAATATCAGACAGTTTCTGATCTCATTGACTTCCATAGTAGGAAAAAACTGTAAAACTCAACTGTTTAACTCTGGGGGAGTTGTAAAATGAGCCTATTTCCAAAAAAAAGTGCAGTATCCCTTTAAGTTTAGGTATTGGGAAGGATTAAAGGCTGTTGACTATGGTCAATGAGAATAAAGCATTAATATGAGATATACAAGTACCAATAAAAAGCTAAAATCCAAGTAAAATGCATGTTAATTAGCAACTAGTTAAAAGTGAGAAACTAAAGTGTTAAACTAAAAGTGTTAAACTAAACTTAAGTGTTACCAAAATTGCATCGCATGTAACAAAGGTTTGTATTTCTATAATATATATTTTTGTTAGGTGTGTTAGGTGTGTGTGTGTAAGGCATATTGAAATGGCGGACTAAATCCAGAAGAACTGAGTCTCTAAGGCACTTGAAGAAACTTCCCTGCAAAGCTACAGTACTGTGAAAAGTTTTAGGCACTCATGTAACAATGCTGTAAAGTCAGCATGTTCCTAAACATAATATCACAAATAGATTTAATTTACCAATTATCTTCTATTAACTAAATTAAATAAATATTTGGTGCATAGGTAGACTTGCACATAGATTTTCAGGTAGTTTGCACTGGTTTCGTCAAGCGCCTTGGAGACGTTGCTGCAGTTATAGTTTGAGTCATTTTTAAACACTTTTACAATAATTTTAGTGTTCTAGAATTTTTTTTACATAACATGGCACTTCAGCAAAGTACAAATGCACATAACTATGTTAATAAGCGATAAAATCACACAATTTTACACTAAAATCATGTAAACATACTTCTTATTGTTTATATCTCTTTATATATTATAACTACTTCATGTTAAAATATTTGCTGCTTATGAATTATTCCCACTCACTTCCATTGTAAGTGCCTCACTTTTTAAGAAAACCAGAGACAAGTTCAGATCAATTTTTATATGTATTGAGTTGAACTTGTACTGAACCCAGGATATTCCTTTCACAAACATCAAATGTTGTTGTGCATACCTGGACTGCTGTCTGCAGTCAGGTTGCTGCTGTTACTCGGAGAGTTGGACAGATCTGAGACCACCACGCTGATTCCTGCCGTCGGGCTGAGGCTGCCGCCCCGCGATGAGGACTCGCTGCTCTCGGAGCCCAGCGACGTGCTTGAGCGTGTGTCTGAAGACTTCCTCAACCTCCCACGCAGGAAAAAACTTCTCATCTTACTCCTGCGGACCTCCCCGCCTTCATCGTCCTCATAGTCTTCCTCGCCGCCCCCATCACTTGGTAGCCGCCCCCGCACACTTACCATTGACCCGTATCCCCCAGAGACGATGGCGGAAGAGGAATCTTCTTCGCTAGAGCGCTTCTTAGCCCGCATGCGTTCTCTGAGCTTGTCGAAAGCCGAGCGGGGTTTGTCCTTCATGGAAAGGTCATACATGCTGGCCGTCAGGTTGTGCCGAGTGAACTGCACCGTCAACTGAAGCTGCCCTCTTTCCTTCTCCTTTTTGCCAGATTTTGAATGCAGCAGGTGCCACCTGTGAACAATAATGAGTAAAGAAAACTGTTAAAGGGAGGCACACGTGGTCAATCTACTGAAGGTTGAAATTGAAGGATAGATTAATTGATCTGATGTTGCCCTTTCCCCTACATTCACATTCACACATACAGTTTTCATTTTCAAGCAAAATCAAATACACAAGCTTATGTTTGACCTTAGATCAAAGGGTCTCCCTGCTAAATTAATTGAGGATTTCCTGATACTCCTGTAAACACACACACACAAAAGCAGAGCTGGGACGAGAAGATCAGCTTTCTTCAATCAGCATTATCGCTTTTCTAGACACTCCACAAGACAGCACACACACACAATTTTCTTATTGTTAGAAGCTTGGCTGACACATTAAAAGAAAACAATTAACCAATTAACAGATGAACAGATATGCGGATCCACCCACACATGATTGCCTGTTAATTATTCACATTTACTAATAAACACATTTGGCATTACTCCAGTGCACTTCTATTGCTGTTGTAGACTCACACTGAAGTGACACACAGGGATATGTTGTTTTAGATTGCAATTAGTAAAGGTGATACATACATTTTTTTTCAGTGTTTAAAATAATTTTACAGTTCAAAATGAATGCAGACAGTACTATATGTAGATTTGATGAACATTATAACTTCGATTCCATCCAAATCCATATATAGCAGAAAGCAAGGATAGAGGACGTTTCTTTTCTTGTTTTCTTTTTTGCAGAGTGTATTTAACTTATAATTCATCATTATGTACATTTTTACAACATGTAGACACATGTACACTGTCTCATTGGACTATGGCTTGAAATTAAGGCAAATTAAAATTATATCAGTCGCAGTTCATCAGGGAAACACAAATAGTCACACACACACACATACACAAACGGAAAAATATACCAACCTAGTGATGTCATGGCAAAGTATCAAAGACCTTCAGAATAATGACAATCTCTAACAGGAAATCAACCGTCTCCTTATAGGTCGTACATCAACAGCATTTATGATACTCTCGCTTTAAAGACAGAGCAGAGTCACTTCATCCAAAAATGAACACAATTTAGGTCTCATAGATGTGAGTACCTTATTATATTCCATCCATTCTCACTGTTGCCTCACAATGCCTTTTACAGTCTTTCAAATCCATATATTTCAATATAATTTTCTTTAATTTACGCATGGTTCCTTTGACTAATGAACATTCTCATGACCTATACTCAAAATAAGTAGACACAACCTTCAAGCACAAGAATCTAGTAGTAGTGTTTGCTAAGGGAAGCATCATTATGGCTAATAAATGGAGTTAGGGATTAGAAAAACCTGCACTGTTTGTGTTACGAGGTTTAAAACACACTTGTCGAACAGGGATGTGCTATTTTTTAAGTGATAAGATTGAAGACCAGATAAAAGCGGTGAATACAATATTCCATAAAATAAAGAGATAGGCGACAACATTGTCAAAACAATCTGCGAAAACGATTCAAAAGGCTGTATTATGCTGCCAGGTCACTAAAACTATCCGCCTATTGACGAACGGCTAAAACGCATAAAAAAGTTTTCCGTTTTTAGTTGAAAGCGGTTTTGTGTAAACGGCCCCTCAATTAATGTCTCAGCATTTACTAATACATTTTTAAGACCAAACGTTGATCTGTTAACTTTAGTTAATGCACTGTGGATTAGTACAAAATGTGAAATTAATTAAGCCACAATTTTTCCTTTACCACTTGAACTTAACTGAAGTAAAATGTCTGCAAAATACCTTTTCTGTAAAGGTTATTAAGTTACAAGAGGTATTATGTACTTTATTATGCCAAATGGTGTCCTCAAACAATGCCAACTAAGCAAAAGAAAAGCAACATGAACCTAGTGAACTAGAAATTAGTTACTGAATATTTTGACTTTTTTTTACTTTTTATTAAGAACTTTGCATGGTGGTTGAAGCACAAAATGTAACTGCCTGTGTCTTTGAAGAGCTTAGATTCAAAAGCGTCTAGTCAGCAAGTCAAATCGGTACTTTGTTTCCTTTGTAGCATCTTTTATGTTTACCACACCAGACCAACGGGTCCAAAACACCCACTAGTTCCAGTATCAATGTGAATAACCCAGATTCAACGCTACAATCATTTCACCTCTGAGGTGAGCAGCACAATCTTGCCCAGTGTGGTTAGATGTGGTCTTTATTACACGGCATCCAGCGGAACTTGCTCGTTCAGTGTGGTCCTTCAAAAAGATCTGTAAATGCATGGAAACACTTTTTTATATCAGTGCCAAGTATAGAAAACTCACATCTGCCGGACTCAAATCAAAATAAAAGTTTGAATCATAAAGTGCAGAGTCAAGAGTAATCTAATCATTACGCCTTACAGCGGTAATTTGCCAACCCACACACTAACTACATGATTCATCATATACCCGACTCAACCCACCTACACAAACTAGGGGAGATACCAACACGCAATCTGGAAATCACCAGGAACCAAGAAGTGAGCAACATATACAGCAAACATTAAACCCTCAGTGTCATCATAAGTAATCCAAAAAATGTACACACCCTCCTATTGAACACAAATGATGATATTTTGAAGAATATGGGTAACCAAACAGTTGATGGGCCCCAATGACTTCCATTTTTCCTACTATGGAAGTCAATGGGTGACGTCAACTGTCTGGTTACCAACATTCTTCAAAATATCATCTTTTGTGTTTAATGGAAGAAAGAAATTCATACAGGTTTGGAACAACTTGGTGAGTAAATGATGAGCATTTTCATTTTTGGGGAGAACTAGCCCATCCCTCTATGGATAAAATGTCAATCCGGTGCATACATATAATTGGGAGCGCTATGTAGGCCTTAGTATACAGTTACAAAATAATTGTCATTGTGTCACATGACCTACTCTTGAGGTATTACAACCTACTCTTGTCTTATATGAAGGAGTAGGCCTACCACATCAGTTAAACACATCAGTTCTGGTTACATCTAAACAGAAATGGTACCAGAAAAGCACTGAAGGACCTCTATATAATGGCCTACAAATAAATTATTTCATATTTGGTGGCCAGTTACAGGAAATGGGGCGTATAGTGTGAATACATTTCTCACAGCTGTAGTGTTGGAGTCTAGATATATAGAGCCTCACACTTACCCCAAAACCACCCAGGAAAATAGATTTCCTCAGAATCATACACATAAATATATGCACAGAGACTCTACTCACAGGTTAAAATGCATCTTAAAACACTTTCCTCTGCATGCTAGAGTGAAACACATAAGAATATCTTTTCTTTAGCCTCAGGATGACTGAGAAATGTTTAAAAATGTATCAATAAATGAAGCATGAAGAAGTCATGCTCCACTGGTCTGATCAAGCATCCATCTTGAGCTATTCTGAGCTTGTATTGTGTTGTCTGTTTTCTAGAACCACAGATGCTTTGTTGTTGCTAAAAAACTCTTAGTTACTGTAGGATAATATCTAAATGTGAATGGGCAAGTATGGCACATCCTGTAGCTGACAAATGGTCGTGCAATGCAACAAATTATTTTGCAACAAGTATAAAAAATGCATTTTAAAATGGTTTGATGCTACATAGAGTTTAATAGCTACACTGCAGTCAACACTTTTACTTTGTTAGGAAGCTTAAATGTCAACCACCTTTGAATCACTAAGATTCTAGCATAAACGAAAGAAGAGCCAACCCGATTTCGAGAAAACAGCTATTTTACGAGGTGACAATCTCATATTTATGTACGGGAGAAAACAACATTTAAAAAAGAAAAAACATTTTTGAAAAAAGTAAGCATAAAAAATCTAAACCAAACCCCACCCCTACACACTGGAGTGTACGGCACGCAGATAGATAGAACGAAAAAAGTATGAATAATAATTCATACCAATTATTCCCCAAAAAGTGGAATAGTTGCATATTGCCATGCGATTGTGTTGAAGCACACAAAAAAGGGGCATTATGGGTAAAGGGCCCTGGTGCACCTGGTAGAAGCAGCACATGACCCAAGCCTTCAATTTCATGCTTATGCTTTTATCTTACATAATCAGAAAGCCGACAGAGCAAAACTGGACTGTTCATAAGCAATGACACATTACTGAATCAGACAGATGTGAATAATACAGACCATCTAAATAAGCATTTCTCAACACTGATCCTGGTGTGCTCTACATGTTTAAACTGTCAGTCCAAATCCGTTTGTTTGTGTATCCGAATGGAGCTGTTCAGATCCAATCTGTGTGTCCTGCAGCACTCTTTCATTTTCCAAAATAGCCTATCTGCATTGGTTTCTATTGTAAAGGTGTTGCATTGATTTGGTAGACCTATGCCAAAAACTACATGGAGTGTCTTACAATGTGACAATGTGTAGCCCCGGCACTGGACTACTAAGTTTAATGAAGTCTAATGAAGCAAGGGCAGAGACTTAGGAGGCTGGCTTGAGCAACTTTATTCCATGCTGCCATCTCTGCCAGAGCCAATCTCAAAATTCAAAGAGGGGTTTTGACCAGGCCGACTAGCAGTGACTGGAGGACTCATGAGGTATCACCTCATCACTGGACCACTGTGATGCCTCCATTTTTAATATAATTTTAGGAGCGACCTGCACATAGACAACTCGCCCTTGTTTCTGTAATGACATCTGACGCGTTTACGTGGCGTGAGAAAAAAAAAGCTATGCAAAATCCAATCACAACGGTCATAAGACAGATGGCCAGAAATGAGATTTGAAAAGGATTTCAAACCACATATAAACGTAGCTTGAAACTAATTTGTAAAAACTGAAACATAATTGGAGTTATATTAAAAATGATCCTGGCTCTTCCAAGCTTTATAATGGGAGTGAATCATACTTTAGATTTTGAAGACAACGACAGCGTATCTATCCATTATAAAGGTAATCCATACAGCTCAAGGGGGTTAATAAAGGCCTTCTGTAGCGAAGTTATGCATTTTTGTAAGGAAAAATATACATTTTTACAACTTTATGAACTATAATCACTGGCCTCCTCCGGGAACGACCATGTTTGAGTCGAGTTTGGGCATCAGTGACCTCTGTACCGGCGTAGGATCTAGGAGTAGCATATGCTTTGACGACCCTGATGGTTAAAACAAATTGGGTTGGGCAACAAACTCAAGCCTCTCTTCTCTTATATTGAAATCCTTTCACATTTCTCTTTAAAAATTTTAGTTTTAGACTTCCAATTCGTGATTGGTGTTTTGTTTAGTTGTTTTGTCTCTGCTTCCGCATTCATCAACACATCATGCGTCAGGTCAGAGGTCACTCTTCCGCCAGAACTCGACTCGCTTATGGCCGTAACCATAAGCCAGTGATTTTAGTTTATAAAGTTACAAATATGCATTTTTTTTTCATTACAAAAACGCATCGATTCACTTCAGAAGAGGCCTTTATGAACCCCCTGGTGCCGCAAAGCTTGGAAGAAACAGGATTTTTTTTATATATATATATATATATATATATATATATAGAACTCTGTGTTTGGCTGAAAGAAGAAAGTCATTCACCTGGCATTATTTTAATTTTGGGGTGAACTAACCCTTTAACACATTTAGGTAGTCTCCCTTGTGGGATACACCCATATTCAGGTCTCAGAGGGTTGAACTGCAGTGTTTGATGAGACAAAATGTTCAACATTTGTACCATTGAGAAGCCTCCAGAAACAGGACAGGAAAACACCAATGAAAATTCCTCTACTTTCCTCAGTCAACATCCAGGCCCACTGAAGAGGGCGTGACTGCAGAGGAACAGATTGCAGCACACTGAGTCTGAGCAAGACATATCCGACTGGGCTAATGACACATATTAACCATTATTCCTTGTGCTACTGCTGCTTCAGACGAATAAATACATAAACAGTAAATGCAAAGACAAACTTACTCGTTTTTCATGCTTTTGCGATCCTGGAAGGCTTTATCTACCGGTATAACAGCCTGGCCCAGGAACACATCTAGTCCTATGAGAGCACGGTGCATAACGGTGAGGGTCAGGTCGCCACTACCGGGTGGGTACGCGTCTCGCCCTCCCTTCTCCAGGATCCCCGGCAGCAGCTCGAACGCGCATTCCTCGCCCCATTCCGGGTCCGTAGTCTTCTCCATCACGCACGTGGAATATTTCTCTTTGCCCAGCTGGATGATGGTGTACACATCGCTAGTGCCGTGTTTACCCTTCGCGCGCAGCCCTCGGGCCCGTAGCACGGTTACCTGCACGTGCGTTGGCACCCATCGATGCTCCTCGTCATTCTTTACCAAGGACATGGTCACCGGTGCACCGGACACGGACACATAGACAGTGGGGCAGCTGATAACGGCTGATCTCCCGGTCAAGCGTCGCTTGGTAACCGCCAGCCTATCGTCGCGGTCCACTGTGAAACATTTTTAAGATTCAGCTCGCGTGAGACGTCGAGCCGCCCACGATAAAGTGGCTGGTTTGTGTCCGGGTCGGGCGGACAGGTTTCCCTCTGCAGCGTTACAGCCACCGTGCAGACCGGTCCACCGACGTCACTGCTTTATCCTCTCAGTCTCCGCAGGACAAGGAAGTGACTAGAAGCGGTACGGTACGCCGGCTACATCATGGTGCATGCGTGCTGCTCTAAAACACGTTCTCTCGTGTGCATTTTAGAAAAGCAGTTTCACTCGGCAACCTTAGATTGAATAAACAGTCGTTCGTTGTCGAACTTTGCTAAAATGCCGTACAGGCGAGCTATCCTGCGTGAGAATCCGAACACTGCCGAACACTTACGATGACATAATATTGCAGATACGGGGATGCGCGGAGTTTAAACCGGGAATCCTCTGGTACTGGACAGGGATTTTAACACTCATGCTATATTTGAAAAACTTCACTGCACCAGAATCCTCTTATCAATTTTGGGGCGCATTGAAAACCATTAAAAATGCTTGATTTTTTTAGTAGGATGCAATAGGGTTTTACTCTTAAGGAAAAAGTGTCATGTTCAAAAACTGTGTTAGTTGTTGAAAGAAATCATTTAATATTGAAGGAGAGACACAATTTCTATAAATAGAAATGTTAAAAAACAACTGTGGCACAGGGTGTTTCTCTTCCTGGTTCATTTCATTTTCATAATAGCCTATCTATAATAACAACTTATGTATTGTTGTGCATTTAGTTTATTAACTCTAAATTTTACTTCATACATACCTCAAAAATAAATCTGTAATATGAATATACAGTGCACATTTATTGTTGTGCTGTAGGAGAAAATTGCTTTCTATACAGACCCTTCTTGTACTATCAGAATTTCTTATCAAATTTCATACTTTTTTCTATAACTTGGATATTTATAGCTGAAAAGATGTTGAAGATGGAAAAAAAGTCCCATTTGTCATGGTAAATAGTAGGCTACAGTTTGATCCACAATGAGAGCGTCAGTGTTCATAGCGAACTATGAGCTAACACTTCCCATATTTTTAGTTAAACTTTATATATTGGTAATTTCAATTCTATGATACACTTAGGTATACTTATGATACACTTATGATAGTTTTTAGACATAGTTTCTACATCACTAAGCATTCCACATAAACATTACAAATTTAATTATACATAGAAACTCACTCACCCTCTACCTAACTTAAAGAAATATGTCTTGCTTCCTTTTGGGGTCCTAATTGGCAGCATCAAGGATCCCCAAGAGATTTCCTGTTTTAAATAATTTTTGGTGACAGAATATTAAATTTAATGTTTAATATATAAAGTAAAAAAATGAAAATGGACCCAAAATTGATAATGCCAAACAGGACAATGAAGCATCTGTTTACACTACAGTATAAAAAGGTCACAGAGTAGATAGTGTTTGCACCAAATAGCAGATAGCATCCTGTTTACAATGTAGCGATAGATGATTTTTACTAAAAATTATAAACAGAAGTAACATGCTATACTAAGGTTATAGCCTGAGCAATGATTGGTGGAGTTCGTTAAAATATAGCCTTTGCCAATATTTGCATTAAGTCCAAGGAGATTTTAATCAATGGTCAGTCATGAACCAGAAACCTGTTGTCAGGACCTCTGACACATGAAGTGAGTTTGAAGCAATGCACTAAAATATCACTGACAACCACAACTTCAAAGGGTTAGTTCTTCCAAAAATAAAAAAAATTCTGTCATTAATTACTCACCCTCATGTCATTCCAAACCCATAAGATGTCCATTGATCTTTGGAACACGAACAAATATTTTTAATGAAACCTGAGAGATTTATGTCCATTTATTGAAAGTCCATTTGCCCAAAACTCTGACACTTCAAAATATTTATAAAGTGATTGTAAAAGAAACCCATATGAAACTAGTCTTTAAGAAACACAACTTTGTATGATGAACTGATTTAATTTAGGCTTTTATTCACATATAAACATTAATCAACAAACAAACTCTCTCAAATTTGGTGAACGGAACCTCAAGCATGAGAACCAATGAGGTTTATTCTTGCGCATCATGCAATTACGGCCGAGCTTCTGTTTATAGATGTACTGTTCGCTGATCAAAGTTTCTATGAATAAAAGCCGATTAATTCATGCCTCTTAAGGGGGCTTGGATTAAACTGCCCTATTCATTTGGATTTTACAATCATTAATGAAGCATCAGACTTAGTTTTTGGGGAATAGACTTCATTAGACTCCAGATTTCATTAAAAAGATCTTCACATGTGTTGTTTCACAAAGTCTATGGGTTTGTTACAACATGAGTGACAAAATTTTCATTTTTGGGGTGAACTAACCCAGTCAGTTTAATAATGCAATAATCTTAATCTCTGCTTTTGCTTGATGACATTACATGACAGTTAAACAAAATAGAATAAGCTGCCTCCAGTGATGTCTTTAGACCTAATTAACTTCTATTCTTATAGATAAGATGTCTCTTTCCAAAAGAATCCCTTACATGTGCATTGTCCTCACTTCGATCAAACACACACACACACTAAACATTTGTGCACGCTTGCTAAATGACAATGGAGACACAGAGGTGCAGCTGACATTCATAAACGCAAATCTGGGCCAAGAGAAACACACACACACACACATGGACCCTCTGTCACACATACTTATCTGGAAAGGGTTCAACTCCAGCACCAAAGTGCAAATAGACCACTTACAGTCTAAACTGGGTAATTAGATCCTTAATCAGGGATCAGAATCACAGAGTGGCTTCAACATAATGAAATTCCTCATTCTTCTGAACATTTTCAACCTGACCCAATCTACTTTCAAGCACACTGCCTTGAACAGCTGTGACTGACACACTTCCTGTCACTCAGAAATAAACACTTGCACGCACACACATGCTATTTACCATGAGTCGTCAATCATTTCTAACAAGTAAAATATAAGACAAAAGAATTTGAATAGTGAAATTTAATAAATATATAGACTAGGTTGAATTTTGTCAAACATGTAGCCTATATTTGCACTTAGGCTATGCATTTTGAAAGCAAAGAGTTTTATGAGGTTTAACGAATGATCAGTCATGAACTGAAAACCTGCATGTCAAGGCCTCTGATATTAGCATATCCTTTGTTAAAGGGATAGTTCACCCAAAAATCTAAATTTTGTCATCATTTACTCACCCTCTTGCTGTTTCAAATCTGTAAGTTTCCTTCTTCTGTTGAACACAAAAGATGTTTTTTCCTACTATAGTCAGTGGGTGCTATCAACTGTCACCAAGTCAAGTCAAGTCACATTTATTTATATAGCGCTTTTCACAATACAGATTGTATCAAAGCAGCTTCACCAAGCAACATTCTTCAAAATATCTTCTTTTGTGTTCAAAAGAAGAAACCCGTACAGATTTGAAACAACATGAGGGTGAGTAAGTGACAAAATTCTCATTTTTTGGTGAGTACACACTGTGAAACAGTGTTACAGTGATTAAAAAAGCCCATAAAGGCAGTGAGGCCTCAGAAGTCTTGAGGTAGCCTAAAGGTAAGCTACATATGTCCCGTTGTCTTGATGGTTCTTCTATTTGTTTATGAACTGGTCGTCTCATGGGAATAAACCGAATTCGAAATCCCCAAGTGAGACGATTTATAATATGCACGTTTCCGCTCGCTCAGACGGATATTATCCTGTCAAAACAGCTCGTGAGACTGCAGACGCGACTCGAGGCCTTGTCCTGTACTAGACTGGCGTCGTGGCCGCTGCTCGCGGGCTCAAAGCGCACACTTGTTTGACGCAGCTGGCCGCTTTTCTGTGTTCTAGGGCTTTACTCGGGGTGTCGACTTTCAAACTAGAGGCATCAAGATTTTCTTTGAGCGGTTTAACTCGATTTAGAATTTAATTATCCGCTAAACTGCGCGCGGAAGCATTTTGTGGGAACTAGCGGCACTTCACAACCTCTCGTGTCAATCATACGCTAAAGAGGGAACACAAATAATCTCAACAAGCGATCACGTTACCCTTATCAAAATAAGATTAAATTATATCTATTATAAAACATACAAGTTTTTACCCTTTCGACATATTTTATATTAGCCTACTAAAGTGTGGATGGTGGATTTATAGAATTTGATTAGATATAACCAGTGTAGGCCTACCCATGGACTGGGCCCAACACAGAATTCAATAGGCCTGTCGATAGGGGGATTATTTAAAAAGTACATTTCAGTATTTTCCCTTCAGTGTTAAAAAATGACACCTAGCCTATTTCAATTAAAAACGTAAGTTCAGTTGCTGCCTCACATTTTCTAATTTGTCTGCACAAGTCATACAATTAAATTTAGCTACTTAAAGTCATAATTGAATCTTGTATAACTTTTTTAAAAAGTTGAACTTGCTTTAATTAATTTTGATGAGTTAAAAGTGAAGTACAAATATTTTGCCATGACTTAGGCTATTGTTTATTTATTTTTTGCAGTGTTGTCACTGAAATAAATTTTTAGTTTAATTTATTTTATTAATTTATATTTATTTAAAAAAAAAATTAAAAAGTAAAGCAGGACAATTCAATAAATTCTGTCACAATTTTATTGCATGTAATCCACTTAATGTGTATTGGAACTATACACGAATAGTGTTTGTTTGCAGTCACTGAAATTTGGAATAGAGGACTGCTAATTCCCAGCATGCTGTGCATTGGACTGGATGGGAAGAAGAATGTGTTTTTGAGATGGGATGAGCGATTTTTAGACTTTTGGAGTTTAATGGTCTGTTGGGGTTTAAAAGTTTCAACAATGTACATTACATAGTAGAAATGTAACCTGCACTGTTGCTTGCTAGCAACTGAAAAAGACTAATTTACTTTTGACTTATGCTACAGATTTTAAGATTTAAGAAGAGTTAATTAGAACACTTAACAACAACAAAAACTTACATATATATATATACATATGTATTCAGTTTAGCCAAATAATAATTTTTGTGAGTGCAGTACTTCCACTAGCAATGTTAAAACATGATATTCAGTCACATTGCCCTCCACTGGTAGGTTTTCAAAACAGAAATTTATACTCATAAATGCCAGATCTGGTTCAGCAGTACATTTTTGAATTTTGAAACAATATTAAATAACTTTTATTTATCGCCACGTCTCACAGCACTAAGTGCTATGAGACTAAGTGCACGTCTCACTTATTCTTCACAGTTATAAAGAATAAGATCGTTTGAACAGACATGTTTCAGTCTAAGATTTAAACATACATTTAAACATGATAACTTATATAGTTAGGCTACAA